TTTACGTATTTATACATTACCTGGCTTTCAAATGTTTGGGGTTGAGCGTTCCTGATGAGGGTTAATCTAACGAGTTTAACATTTCTAAAAAAAAAAGTATAGAGTGCTTCGCAGTTTTCGTGGTTTTTTTTTTGTTTTGTTTTTTTTTTTTTTTTTGGGGGGGGGGGGGGGGGGAGGGTGGTGATTCTGAGAGAAAACAACAGTTTTTAAAATTTATTATCAGAAATTGTTTTCTGTTCTTTGGTCGGGTTGTTGTCTCTTTGACACTGTTATGTAGATTTCAGTTTCATTATTATTAGTAATATGATACAAAATGCAACCTATCAAGGAAAAGACTCCGTTCTGAGGGTCACGAATAAGGGACTGTGAAAAAAGTAGTCGAACTAACAAAATAATGCATTAACCGAAGGAGATTGTATTCAGCAATCTGATCTCCTAGATTAGACTGATATGCGATACCTTAAATTCTGACTGAATATTTTTTACTCTCTCTAATGAATAAAATATTTTCCGTCAGGAACAAGTAACTTGATACTATCGACTTTATCAACATCACCTAAAGTACACAGAGATAGTAACCAATATCAAATTGATGCTTTAAATTAACCATGTTCCGAGGACTTCACATACCTATAATGTCATATACTGGTCTGTTGGTTGGTTTGTTATACTGTTTTTTTTAAAACAAATGTTTGAAACCTATACTTTCTAAATTGTATAATGTGATAGTTTAGAAAAATACTTTTAACAAATAAATATCTTACAATTACATATCGATCAGCATCGAGTAAATGCATCAATGAACAGAGCTTTCATTTTCGTAATATATGTAATGACTAGTGATATGATATTAACACTATACAATCATACATAAGAAATAGATTTAAGCAAAGGAAATTCGAAAAAAACAAATGTATCAATTTTGACTATCAGCGCTTATCCAACAAAATAGTGGCCTTGTCATACCATGCATAACTTCTCATTTTGGTTTCAATTAAGAGTTGTATATTGTCCCGTTAATACTATAGGGGACAAGTAAAAGTAAGTAGGAAATAGTGGTATGTAACATTTTGTTTCAAGAACAGCCTTAAAATTTACGGATTTTACGAAGTGTTATGCGCGTTAGCAAAAAATAACTTATATAAATTTGTAAGCAGTGCGGTTGAATGATTATTTTTGTGTGAAAAAAAAAATCCCAATGACTTTAATGTAGAGGCATTTGTTACATATTTTATATTTTAGGTATTTAAAGGATAATACTTCAAGAGGAATGAAAATAAAGTCGCAAAAGATAACTCAATTAAGCGCCCCTTTTTTGGTAAAATGTTATGTCCTTGCCGTAACAACAGTTTCTGGAATCATTTATTGATTCGTCAAGTTTTCACCAGGGTACGTACACAGTTAAAAACGTAAAGAATGGATTAACTTTTCTATTAACGTCGCAGAAGTGGTGTCTAGCGATTTTGTTGTTGAAAAAATGACTCTAAAAATGAACAAAACGTTAGCTGTTAGTGAGCGGAAAAAAATTCGAATTAGATTCTTTTAACTTGTAAACCAAAGATCAAATCTGAATAAGGGAGACAGACAGAGTTCGTACAATTTTAATCCAAATCATTGTCTAATTGTATTGCAATCTAAGTTTTCTGCGCAAATTATTTTATAGTCTTTGAGTCTTCAAGTGTACTTCATGTATGTAGAACAGAAGCACTTCAAACTTTTTTCCGTTTTACTTTGAGGTATAAATAAATGATTGAAACTTTGTAACTGAATCTGAATATACAGTGTCGTCTTCTTGTTGTTTCATCATTTACGTATACCCACACCTCCTTTCATTCATTATTATGTGTTTCAAGATTTTTTCCATTTTCATACGGAGTTGACTAGATTCGTTTTGCCAGCGAATTCTTTCATATCGATATGACACGTTAGACATTGTTGTGATTTAACAGCTGCAATACAACACCAGTTTAATGTGGTAATAAACACCAGTTAATGTGGTCAAGGAAGAAACATAATTTATAGGTAATTTACGATAAGTGAAGCTTCATTAACTTTGGAAAAAAATCACAAACATGACAAAATAATCAATAAAGTAACGTATTTAAAAAATGTATCGTTACTATTCACCTTTACAAAAGGCTTTCTATCCACTTTCGTTTTAAAATGTCTGAGATTTCGGCACATTCTACTTCCTCGTTTGATTTTATATTTTAATTTTATAAATGAGTCGTCTTAAAAAGCACAATTTGACTTGCCCCATTTCATCTTTGTTTTCTACAAAGACGTTAAAAGATATAAGACCTAAGCCCAATTTCCCTATTAAAAAAATCTTTGAATGAGCTGTGGGCGGATGTAGTTTCCCTCATTTTATTGATCTTCTTGTTTTACATGCTATATTACTTTTACATCCGACAGCCTTTTTTGGGGGGATGGGGGGACTTCTTGTGACCGTGGGACGACAGACCGCAGTCCACATAGAAAACTAAGAAATTGCCGATCCAGAGTTGGGGCGCCAAGTCGTCAATCATCCATTTTACATGTGTAATTAATGTGTGTTCTATGACATCTATTTATCAACGAAAACAGCGATATGGTCTCGTACCTTTATAAAAGTTTTCGTCTTTATGCGTATACTCAATTAAAAAAAACCCAACGTATTGAAATTTTAAATGCTTCATATACATGATATAGATCACTTATTGTAACTGTGTCGGGATTCGTTCCACTTAATTTGCACTTCTTAAAATATAGCGGACGTGATAGAAAGCACGTTTTTTTTTCAAAACAGAATCAAAAAGGAAGACAGAAGTAGGGAATTGTGTTTTCTGTAAGTTTCATACCCGAATATGAATTGCATGCGATCTGGCAGAAGGTCTTTCAAATGTAACAGGTTTTTTTTTATATTTTTGACATAATTTATTTTACTCTTTAACCTAGCTGGGGAACCGTATACGATATATAACACTCAGGTCCTTTAAGTTTAATATGATATTTTTTCACAATTTGCGGACTACCGTTACTCTTATGGTCCTTATGATATTTTTTGACAATTTGAGGACCATCAATTTTCGTCAAACTTTTCTTGGCTTCTATGAAGGAGAATCGTTTAATACTTCATCTGCTCTTGATGATGTTGAGTTGTAGCGAGTAAGAAATTTTATATCCACGATGCAACCACTTCCTGTTTGCCGATCGTTTGATTTACGACACTCATTGTACAAGGAAAATTAAGTTTCAAAATTTTTGTTGGTTTCGATAAAAGGGAATGATCAGTTATGTACCAGCATACATGTTACCTCAATCAGCTGTATGCAGCGATGAGGATCAGGCCTATTTTCCCCCTCTAGTAGCATTAGAAGCTATTTTTTTTTTCAATTTTGAATATATTCAGTGTTCAGACATACCATTTTGGCAGCTAGTATCCCTTTAAGGATGTTCGCTACTCTTGTTTTTGAATTTTTGTCAGATATTCGGAATCCTCTAGTTGGGCCGATGTAGTGCCAATAAAAATTTTGTCCGCTAACCCTTCCTTTTCTTTTCATAATTTTACTACATAGAGTTTAAAGATCTTTAAAAAGCCATTTATGAAATTCTTATAAAATCATTGTTATATATTATTTCCGACATAGTGTTTTAAAGAAAAAAGATGCCAACGTTAAATGTATGAAAAATCTAAATAATCATTTCCCGCTAAAGTTCAATAGATTATATATTGAAAACACGGACACGAACCTTTCCCTTTTTTCTGCTTTTTAAGTTCCGCTATTTACATACTATCAATTTATGATAGTCTTTTAAAAAGGTTATTATTTTGAAACTTAGTAGCGATCATCCTTAAATGAATTATAGCACACTACATTCACTTCAAATTTTGACATGTAAAACAATAGTTTCTAGATAATTTATACAAACAGAAATAATAATTTGCTAATTTAACAACAGTCTACTATACACGAAAGTTATATTGTTACCAAGTATAACGTTAGGCTTTCCGTGACACAATCAAGCTCCTGACAATGCCTGTCATATCCACAATACAGTGCCCTGGAAAACAATTCGGGCTATCGGACGTTTTTTATTTAGCGGAACCATAGGTGCGAGACGATACAAATAAGCCATGTCTAGGATTCTTATTAATATGTATATACGATTTAATAACTGCAACCACTGAAATGGATTCGTTAGATTTCCTCAATCATGATCACAGACTAAACCTAGGATAAAATAGTTTTAGATCTATCAATTTTTGTCGTAGTTCAAACTTCTTCTATGTTCTCTTACATTTTTTAAATTCTTTCAATTTTCAAAATAAATCAAGATAACAAAAGCGCATTTTATGAAGATAAAATTCAGCATTTATTTTTGTGCCATTTTGTGACCTCGGCTTTGGCACTGAGTATTGTTTTACAGTAAAATGCAAGACACACTATCTCGTTAATTCTTATTTAACAGCGGAAAAATTCTTTTCAGAGAAGATCATTTGGAATATAATATTTATGAATAATTGAAAAATGTATCGCGTATGTATTTTACAAAAACAAATTACAGGAAGTGTAAAAAAGTAAACGGATATATTCACTTGTATCAGATTGTCTGATTTATAACATTTATTATCAGTGAATTAACACTTATTCTAAGTGAGGATTGAACGAAAAATTTACCCGCGGGTAAGAAAATATTGATTATTCAATTTTAAAAAATGGCTAATGTGCATAGAACGAACATGTGAACACATGAATACAAAGGAGATGTTGGGTAAATGTCAATGAGACAGTATCCTAGTGACACAGTCAAAAAAAGGACATGAAGGAGGCGCTTCACGCCTATTGTGGTATAGTGAGGAGCCGCTGAGACCGCCAATGCCGCATCATTTTCGTACATTTTGAATATACGTACACTATCATACATATTTCTTTTAATTTAAACCTATAGCTATGATGATTTCATTACGCTATTTCACGGAGTGATACTTATATTTAACAAATATCTGATGAATTTCCGACTGAGGTTTTATTTGCTTCTTTGACAAAAAAAATCGACATCTGATTAATTTCAGATACTTACATGTATGATTCAATCAACGACCTTTTCAGATATGTCATCTTCATTTCTCAAACTTATCATATACCGTGAAGCTTGAAATACTGACTTAAATTTAACAAAGACAATGACAAAAAAAAAGAAAATTTAATAAAAAAAAAAATACATAGTTACATACATACACACTCATTCAAGTTTATAACGAAAAGTACATTAAACAACGTATAATGAGTATCGTTACAGGAAAAGGACTTTACACTTTAGCATGACAATTTAACCTAGCAAAAAAAAAAGAAGAAATATAAACAGAATAGTAATAAACCAAACCATTTAGAGGATGCTTGCAGATACTTACAGGAAATCGGGGGTACTCAAATGATTGCTATTGGTTTCTTAGTGACCAATGTTAAAACGGTCGTCTTAAGGAATAAAACACAAAATGTTCAACTGCCACTTGTAGGAATGTCCTTTCAGAAACTTTGGGGTATAGCGACAGAGATGTTGCCAGCGTTAACTTTTTTGGCATCGAAAAAGTGCCTTCCTCCCAAGACGAGTCTGTGTATATCGATATATCTCTGTACAGAAGAATCTGTATTTTCCACTTTAAATACTTCGACACAAAAACACTTTGAGTTATCCACTTTTAATACTGTCGAACTCTTATATATATATATCTACTTCTTCAGAATAGTCGGTGCTTTCCACTTAATAGGAAGAAAAATTTGATGCACAAGTGTCCTTGGAAACATCTTTTGATGCGGTATATTTTTAAACATTCACGGTTTTTTATATGTGTACCTACATGTAATGTTATGTCTTGTCGTCTGTAACATTGATGTTATAAAGATGAATGCTTTCTTTACCTGATTTTGTGTACGTAAAAGGTCTAAATATAATTTGTTCTACTGAAATCGATAAATGGGATGATGTTTGTACTAATTCCAAATATATTTATAATAACTATTTATAGAAAAGTGTTTATGTTAAATATGAGTATATATATATATGTGTGTGTGCGTACTTATAATAGTACTTTATGATATCACACTTATCATAGGATACATATGCATTGAGTAATATCATATATTCTCCGTAGTTTACAAAATTGTCATACGATGCAATTATTATACTTATAACATATATTGTTTGTAGCTTGAAAATACAACATGTCTCTCTTAGATGGTAAGTAATATTAAAACTATTTTATTGTTCACCTCACATCGCGCCGCGGCAGATATAGTAATGGCATCTGTCCGTCCGTCACCTATCCGTCCGTCAGTTAGTCCGAAACACATCAAAGCTCAGAGACCGTTTGACATTTACTTAATCATTAAGCTTTTATATTCTTGATAGTATTATTTGTCGTTATGTTTTCTTGATCGTGCTATACCGTCAATTTGATTTGAAATTTTCTAAGGGAGTTGTTAAAGGACTTTTACAATTGTTTTAGTATTGTAGCAATGACACCTTAAAAACCTCAGTACGTTTTACAGAAAACTCTCATATTTTTGCTTCGCAGACGTGGTCGCTATTGGTAACGATATATACACGCAATCTTGAAATTATTACTTAACAACAAAATTGAGAATGGAAATGGGGAATATGTCAAAGAGACAACAACCCGGCCAAAGAGCAGATACCAGCCGAAGGCCACCAATGGGTCTTCAACGCAGCGAGAAAATCCCGCATCCTCAGCTGGCCCCTAAATAAAAATGTGTACTAGTTCAGTGAAAATGGACGTCATACTAAACTCCAAAACACATAAATGAACTAAAAATAAAAACATACAAGACTAACAAAGGCCAGAGGCTCCTGACTTGGGACAGGCGCAAAAATGCGGCGGGGTTAATAGATATAAGAAGATGTGGTATGAGTGCCAATGAGACAACTCTCCATCCAAGTCAAAATTTATAAAAGTAAACCATTATAGGTCACAGTACGGTCTTCAACACGGAGCCTTGGCTCACACCGAACAGTAAGCTATAAAGGGCCCCAAAAATTACTAGTGTAAAACCATTCAAACGGGAAAACCAACGGTCTAATCTATATAAAAAACGAGAAACGAGAAACACTTATGAACCACATCAACAACCGACAACTACTGAACATCAGATTCCTGACTTAGGACAGGTGCAAACAAATGCAGCGGGTTTAAACGTTTTAATGGTACCAAACCTTCACCCTTTTTCTGAAACAATAGTGTAACATCACAACATAGAAAGACACACTATAAAATATCAACTGAAATAGCTTAACTCAATCAAAGGACATATTAACACCATTAAACATACACTGAACAAATAAATTTGACCTATGATACAATGTAAATACAAAATAAATTAAACATGTTTTGTGAGATCTCAACCCTCCCCCTATACCTCTCGCCAATGTAGAATAAAGAAACACACAGCAATACGAACAGTAAAACTCAGTTTAAAAGAAGTCTGTGTCCGATGTCAGAATAATTAACAAAAGAAACTAAGCAAAATGACAATGATACATAAATTATCAAAGGACTACCAGCAGTTACTGATACACCAGCTCCAGACCTCAATTAAACTGATTGAAATATTATGTCTTCATCATATGAAAATCAAGTACAATCCCTCTCGTTAAGGGTTTAGTGTCATACCATCATAAAATATATGAGAAGAACATAACCCGTATCATGCCAACAACTGGTTTTAGAATAAATGTGTTTATTTCCGATGCAAAGACCCTATGAGTGAATCAATATTAATACCAAAATATGCAATCCTTAATGACTTGACAACAGTAACGTAACTATATCCCTTCCGAATAAGTCTGTTTACAGCTCTTTTCATAATGCTAACAAGGCAAAGGTTTGTTTGACTTGCTTGCTTTGTTTGTATAAATGTTTGCTCAAGCATTGTAATTAAGATTGACAGCTGCAAACAATATAAGTAGGCGGAGTTAAACCTGTGTATAGGTAAATTTGATTATTTGATAATGTCCAATCAAATTTAAATATAATGTATACAAGTTTACACCCCAGTTCTATTGTTATACTTCATAGTTTCTATTTCTGAAACAAGCGTAAATTGAATATATCTATTGTTACGAATAACAATGGATTTTGACCACAGGGTGTGACAAGCGGGGTTTCTGGAAACCCCTGCTTCTACATCCCGCAAACAAAGTCCATTGTTATTCGTAACAATAGAAATTGATTATTTTTTTAAATAGCATGAACATAAGAAATTACTAATAATGTTCACTACAAATTGTTTCATGATATTTAAAAAAAAAACACATTTTAGGAAATTACAATAAGCATCTATATGGAATACAAAAATAATCCTTTAATACTCTTTTGCTTGAAGGTATTTTTTTTATCCCAGTCATACGTCTCTATTCTAAAGCATTGATCTTTTAAAAAAATGGGGATTCTAACTCCCGGATACCTCCTCCGGTTACCCAGAGCCCGATCCGGGGGGTTCCGCGGGTTAGACCCGACTTTTATTTAAATGCCCCAAAAAGGGAGTTCCTTTATATTAAATATTGTATGTTGAGCGTGTCTGGTAGAAGGGTTTTATAATGCAGACACACCTATCCCTTAGTATGTTCGAATATGAATGTTTTTTTTTTTATTCTCGAGAAGAGAGAGGGAGGGGGGGGGGGGGGGGGGCTTTTGTTTTTGATAAAATCGTAAGATATAAAATACAGTTTTGATTAACTTTATTAAACTGATACAGGTAAGTACTTTGGGTTATAATATTGCCTTTATCTTTAGTCTCTTCTACCAAATCCACCGCTTGCCACAAAATGTCGTCCGTCTTATACCCGTCCATATTGACAACTGTATACCAGGAGCATGATGTATTTTTTTTTTGTTTGTAATAAGAATACACGAAACAGTCAACCTTGACCTGCTGATCCATATTAGCACATGGATTTAACGGGAATATGCAAAACAACTTTGACATTTGTAAAATATACTCACGTGTCAAAGTTTGAACGAAGATAACCAAAGAAAGGTTACTAGCGGGGTTTCATGTAATAAAAATATTCTTATAAATCATGGTTTGATATTGTCAATAAATATGCTATCGTTTTTGGTTTTTTTTTCATTTAATAATCAATGTTAACAAATATAGGGTTTAGAATGGGGTGTAAGGTAGTTATACACTTCGGGATACGGTGTGTCTGGATAAGAAACCCCTCCGGCCTCCGGCCGACCGAGTTTCTTATCCAGACACACCTATCCCTCGGTGTATAACTATTACTTAAATCCCCCTTTTTTTGTTGTTTTCATATATATGTCAATGTTAATAACAATGCTTGAGCAAACATTGACACAAACAAAGCAAGCAAGCCAAACAATTCTTTGTCTTGCTAGCATTATGAAAAGAGCTGTAAAGGTTTGGTTAGCTTTTGAGGTGAATGCCGACATTTTTGTGCTTTGTAAAGAATATTACCATAAAAGATTGGACGTGAAATACCTGAACTTATAAGATGTCTGCATGTTAATTTATATTTACGAATGATGTCCTTGTACCGATGATAAAATTTAGTAAATGTTTTGACTTCTAAGTCTAGTTTGTGATATCGAAAACCCTGGTTGGTTTTGATTGATTTCTAATGATATGGATAAGAGTCTATTGTCTATTGCCGGACCTGTATGAGTTATAAATTCCAGAAATAGGTAATGTAGAGAAGAAAATATATACGGAAGATCAGAATTCAGATCAGTATGGATATTTCACACCGATCGATGACCATATTGCTGATAAGCGCTGATAGTCAAAACTGATACATTATTACGCATTCCCTATGTTTAATCTGCATTATATACGATTTGTTCTTCAAATTACTTCCTATATATGATGTTAATAACATATCACCATTCTTTAATTTACAAATTATACGATTTAAAAAAAATAATTTTAAGTGTTTTTTGCTGTGCATGTACTGAAAGTGGACAAGTAATATAACGTTAAGTGTATCACTTGAGACCCGGTCTAATTAGTCATAGTTACGCTTCAAGTCACAATGGGATAAATGTTTTAATGGATTCTCATTGGTAAACATTAAAAAGATATAGCTTGTTCCGTATAAAATAAAGGCTTTCTTGACATCTGATTGGGTAATATAGAGGTGTCACGGAATAGAAGTTCCTTCATAATATAAGTTCCAAATGGAAACAATATTCTGGAATATTATTTCCACTGGAATAAATATTATAGTAAATGTTCCTAACGGAATAAATGGTATAGAATATTTGTTCCAACAGGAACAGATATTATGACATTGTTTATAACAAAGTTTCCAGTGGAACTTCTGTTAGGCGGAACAAATATACGTTGACAGAGGTGCATCTATTATATGCGAGCGTATCCGTAAGTGTGGCCGGAAAGAAATCATGATAGTAGGTTATAAAAATGCCAGTGAAGTGTTCATTGAAGTTGAAAGTGAAGTGTTGAATCGATATTTTAATGCCACAATGCTAAACGCTAAAGTGATTCAAATTAATTTAGTTTTGTTCTGTCTTTATTATTTAATTGTGTTTGCATCAAATATAAATATTATTTTAACTTTCGCATTCATAATTACCTTGTTGATGTGTATTAGTTATCACTCATGCGTATCGTTATACAGGATAATAATTTTAAACGCTTATCTATAAATAGCCGAAGCATAAGCGTGTTTGTGATGTATAAAATGCACACGTGGTGATTTAACTAAGTTACGCTATATCAAGAAACACACTGTCGTGATTGTGCAGAGCCATGTACAAATGTTCATAAACACATAAATAGAAAGGATCGTGTATGGTTTTGTCTGTAGTTAACAAAAATCAAAGATGAGTATCTATTAACGATATAATTCAAAAGTATAAAAATGTCTTTATCTCAAGTTTCTATTAATTTTGATGTTCATTTATACCGGGTCTGGTGGAGAGGTGGGTTGATGAAAACATATGTCAAATTTCTTATCACGCCAACGTCCATCACGGTACAGTGTAGTGCGAATAATTGAGATGTCTATTTTTTTTGCGCAGGAAGGCATCACAGCAAAAAAACTTAAAAATAACTTTTCAAGACGGTTAAATTATTCGGACTAGGTTCTGATGACAAAACGGTCTACTTCTAAGGTCAACTTCCTAAGGGGAAAATAATATATCTTCATACATTTGATACAGGTCCTTTTTTTTTAGGGGAACCGGGGGGTATTTTATACACATTAGCGTCGGTTAAGGTCCGTTTTGAAAGCAAGTATACAGGTTATCGGAATTCCCATGGGGACTAACTGTGCACCACTTATTGCGGACCTGTTTCTGTATTGTTATGAGTTACAATTTGTGACTAAAATCAGCAAAGACCCATCGAAACAACATCTGATTCAAAAATTTAATAACACTTTTAGATATTTAGATGATATATTGACTCTCAATAATGACGACTTCAGTATGTACACTAAAGAGATTTATCCTGCCGAACTGACTTTCAATAAAGCTAATACTAACAATGAACACTGCCCTTTCCTGGATCTTGATATCTTTATCTTTAACGGGAAGCTTAATACCAAAATTTATGATAAAAGAGATGATTTTTCATTTCCTATTGTTAATTATCCATTTTTAGATGGTGACGTTTCCTTGTCGCCATCTTATGGTGTTTATATATCTCAACTTGTTCGTTTCGCTCGTGTATGTAACAACGTATTTGATTTCAACGAAAGAAATCTCTGTATTACTGAAAAATTATTACACCGGGGTTTTCGATATCACAAACTAGTCAAAACATTTACTACATTTTATCATCGCTACAAGGACATCATTCGTAAATATAAATCAACATGCAGACATCTAATACGTTCAGGTATTTCACATCCAATATGTTATGGTAATATTCTTTACAAAGCACAAAAATGTCGGCATTCACCTCAAAAGCTAACCAAACCTTTAAACAGACTTATTCGGAAAGGATATAGTTACGATACTGTTGTCAAGTCATTAAGGATTGCATATTTTGGTACTAATATTGATTCACTCATAGGGTCTTTGCATCGGAAATAAACACATTTTTTCTAAAACCAGTTGTTGGCATGATACGGCTTATGTTCTTCTCATATATTTTATGATGGTATGATACTAAACCCCTAACGGGAGGGATTGTATTTGATTTTCATATGATGAAGACATAATCTCTCAATCAGTTTAATTGAGGTTTGGAGCTGGCATATCAGTAACTGCTAGTAGTCCCTTGTTCATTTATGTATCATTGTCATTTTGCTTAGTTTCTTTTGTTACCTATTCTGACATCGGACTCGGACTTTTTTTAACTGAGTTTTACTGTGCGTATTGCTATGTGTTTCTTTTTTCTACATTGACTAGAAGTATAGGGGTAGGGTTGAGATCTCACAAAACATGTTTAACCCCGCTGCATTTTTGCGCCTGTCCCAAGTCAGGAGCCTCTGGCCTTTGTTAGTCTTGTATGTTTTTTTAATTTTAGTTCATTTATATGTTTTGGAGTTTAGTGTGACGTCCATTTTCACTGAACTAGCACACAATTTTATTTAGGGGCCAGCTGAGGACCACCTCCGGGTTCGGGATTTTCTCTCTGCATTGAAGACCGATTGGTGGCCTTCGGCTGTTGTCTGCTCTTTAGTCGGATTGTTGTCTCTTTGACATATTCCCCATTTCCATTCTCAATTTTATTTAAAAATATATAAAGTGTTACCGGATACATTTGTGTAAATATTAGATGTAGGGTATCATAAATAAGACAGCAGCCAAATTAACAACAAAGCTAAATAAGGTCAACACTCGGGTTTCTTCAATGGATACATGTCTTTACAATATTTCAATCACTAAATTTGAAAAAAAAATAATTGTGAATAATTTTACAAAGACTTCAAAAATATGCAATCAACACAGAATCACTTAAATCGCAAAATTAAATACACAAATTCAGGAGACCTTAAGTGAATGAACAGGAACGAACTCGGTTTGCTAACATCGGAGAAAACAATAATTACAGCTTCATGTGTATGTTTGTATTATAATGTTCTGACAACAAATGCTATATAGTTGATCTTTGATCGATGCATGTGAATAGTGCTGGCAAATGTTCAAAACCATAGTTTTAGTATAATTATGTTAAGCAACGGTCCAGAAAATTAGCCAGTCAGATATTTATAACATAAAAATAAGAAGATATAATAGTATGATTACCAATGATCGAGGTAACTATCCACCAGAGACAAAATGACATAGATGTTAGCACATATACATTACCCTACAGCATTTAACAATGAGAAATACTTGTGTTCTGCATTGTAAGCTATAAAAGGTTCCGACATGACAAATATAAAAAGTATAAACGACATTGAGATCTCACAAAACATGTTTAACCCCGCCGCATGTTTGTGCCTGTCCCAAGTCAGGAGCCTCTGGCCTTTGTTGGTCTTGTATGTTTTTTTTTAATTTTAGTTCATTTATATGTTTTGGGGTTTAGTGTGACGTCAATTTTCACTGAACTAGCACACAATTTTATTTAGGGGCCAGCTGAGGACCACCTCCAGGTGCGGGATTTTCTCTCTGCATTGAAGACCCATTGGTGGCCTTCGGCTGTTGTCTGCTCTTTGGTCGGGTTGTTGTCTCTTTGACATATTCCCCATTTCCATTCTCAATTTTATAACCAGCGGCATGTCATTATTTTTGTGCAAAACAATAATAAGCGAAAAGCAGGTAACTAAAGTACATGTTCCTTTATGCGCTCCTGCATGGAACCTGCAGAAGTAGGTCACAATTTCCGGTATGATAAAGATTCGAGGGGATCTAAAACGTTTGTTAGTTGTTTTATCGGGACAATTAATGAAAGATCTTGATCACACTTTTCTCAAACAGAGAGTAAATATGACATGTCTGCTGGAAAATTGATTTATAAAACAAGTTTATTGAAATAAGTACAGGCCAAAACGCAAGTGATTTAGAAATCACAATTTATATGCAGAGCAATATTCTGAATGGATGAAAATACAAAGCAAAAAAAAAAAAAAACTATTTTCAACATAATGAGCTAAAAACCGACAAGATTATTGGAAAAGCTATTACTTGTAAATTCAAAGAATCAATTTATGTGTAACTCTCACTATGTACATGTACAGTAAATAATTCGAGATTTACAAAGATATGAAAATATGATTTAGAAACATGCATAACAATTCAAAGAAGTAATACATACAAGGTGCTTCAAATATCAATTACGTATGAAATAGATCTAATGAAAATTCTTTATTTTGCAAATTGGGAAAACATGTTGCTGTGCACACAATATCTTTCCTTTGTCCAAATACAAGAAGAAAGTTCATATATCAAAAATGTTCATTTTACTATGAAGTTAAAAATGTATTGTCGCATTAAACCTGGATAAAAATGTCTTCTCAATTATATATACTATTTAAATTGTTTAACGTAATTCAAAGTTCTGTTTTGTCACATTCTAAGAAATAACATCCGATTATGATACATTGTGTTCTATGCTTCTATTGCAGAATCGCCACCTCCTTCGTACGATTCCATTTACGGAAAACTTAAGGAAGCAAGACATACTTCAGATGGGAACGTTAGTTTTGCTAAGAGAGGGTTTACAATTATCCTTGGATCTAGTAAGTAACACTTGGCAGTGTAAAACAACCAATGATAACGAAGGGTGTCGTTCGGTTCATCGGAGACTCAGTCCGTTGATCTACATAAGGGAGAAAAGTTCGTTGATCTGAGTAGCACGGTTTGTTGATCTGGATTTTTGAAAAAAAGTATTTTGAAGAATATAGTATTAATATGTGTTCAATATATTTCAATACATATAGCAAATTGATAAGGATTAAGTCTGTCACTATCACAATACAATATGGTAAAATCACGCATAATAGTGAAATCAATGAAGGCGTGTAACTCAATCGAGGATTTTGGTATAACACAATGTAAACAAAGGCACCGCCCTACATCTATCTGTTTTCTTTAGTAATGTTATGCAGATTAAAAATTATAATAGTGAATTTATATCATTACAAATAGAATAAGACTTACTAAATTTTTAACATGAGCAGTTTTCAAGATTTTTTGTTCTTCATTTCAAAAAAATATGAATACTAGAAAATAAAAAAAAGTCCTACAAAATTTGTAGCAATTGTTTACAAGTTACTCTCAACGGACCAGTAGCCTACTCGATCAACGGACTTTTCTCCTTTGTAACTTTTTACAAACATATACCAACGGACTGAATCTTCGATAGACTGGGATCATACTAGCTTACTGCTCGACAGTAGACGAACTGACGCGAAGAGGAGGTTTGTCCAGGATGCCAAGTTAAATCTTCGATAAACCGAATCATGCGCTTGAAAACGCTGCATATTAAAAAGAAGTTCTTCACATTACATAGTACATGAACAAAAGTAAAGTACAAATCCACAGTTGGCATGTCGCCACTAAGATTGAATTGCTTGAATCAACTAAAGTTCCATTACTACAATACAATCGAAAATCATACAACACCTACCTCAAAAACAACGCTACGACACAGTACGTGTCGCAAGTAAAACTGCATTTGCGACCATCAAATCGTCAATTGACGGCGACAACTCTTCGACTACAGAACTGTTATTCCTTTATGATAGAAATGTAGAAACAAGTCTATCCATAGCTTCGTTCTTTAATTCACAGTTGTGGCGTGATCGTCAGTTTCCAAAAAAATCTACTCAAACCGTTGCTAGGAGCCGTCTTAAACTTGTAGTGAGGTGAGATTTTTTGCTCCGTGATGAAGGCCTCACTGTGACTTTGAGATAAAGAACAGCAATAAAAGCGCTGGTCCTTTGCTTTTTAGCTCACCTGGCCCGAAGGGCCAAGTGAGCTTTTCTCATCACTTGGCGTCCGTCGTCCGTCGTCCGTCGTCGTCCGGCGTCGTCCGGCGTCGTCCGTCGTCGTCCGTCGTCGGCGTTAACTTTTTACATTTTGAACTTCTTCTAGAGAACCACTGAATGGAATGAAACCAAACATGGCATGAATGTTCCTTATGAGGTGCTGACCAAGTGTTGTTACTTTGTAGCCGATCCATCATCCAAGATGGCCGCCAGCGGGGGACTAAGTTTAACATAGGACCCTATGGGAAATGCATACAAATGACTTCTTTTAGAGAACCACTGAATGGAATAAAACATAACATGGCATGAATGTTCCTTATGAGGTGCTCACCAAGTGTTGTTACTTTGTAGCCGATCCATCATCCAAGATGGCCGCCAGCGGGGGACTTAGTTTAACATAGGACCCTATGGGAAATGCATACAAATGACTTCTTTTAGAGAACCACTGAATGGAATAAAACCAAACATGGCATGAATGTTCCTTATGAGGTGTTGACCATGTGTTGTTACTTTGTAGCCGATCCATCATCTAAGATGGCTGCCATCGGGGAACTTAGTTTAACATAGGACCCTATGGGAAATACATACAAATGTCTTCTTTTAGAGAACCACTGAATGGAATGAAACCAAACATGGCATGAATCTTCCTTATGAGATGCTGACCAAGTGTTGTTACTTTGTAGCTGATCCATCATCCAAGATGGCCCCCAGCGGGGGACTTAGTTTTACATAGGACCCTATGGGAAATACATAAAAATGTCTTCTTTTAGAGAACCACTGAATGGAATGGAACCAAACATGGCATGAATGTTCCTTATGAGATGTTGACCAAGTGTTGTTACTTTGCAGCCGATCCATCATCCAAGATGGCCGACAGCGGGGGACTTAGTTTAACATAGGACCCTATGGGAAATACATACAATTGTCTTCTTTTAGAGAACCACTGAATGGAATTGAACCAAACATGGCATGAATGTTCCTTATGAGTTGCTGACCAAGTGTTGTTACTTTGCAGTCGATCCATCATCCAAGATGGCCGCTAGGGGGGGGGGGGGCTTAGTTTAACATAGGACCCTATGGGAAATACATACAAATGTCTTCTTTTAGAGTACCACTGAATGGAATGAAACCAAACATGGCATGAATGTTCCTTATGAAGTGCTGACCAAGTGTTGCTACTTTGTTGCCGATTTACTGTTCAAGATGGCCACCAGGATATTTTATTAAATAACGGGACCAATATTAATCAAAATTTGGCCTCAATCATTATTTGGGTATCTGTTATGATTTTTATCTATCTTTACATGATTTCTAAAACCAAAGTAGAGTCAGGTGAGCGACACAGGCTCTTGAGAGCCTCTAGTTGTGTTTGTTGCTGTGTATGTACTGATTTTGTGTCATGGATGGGTACCAAATATCTTTTCTTTTCTATTATAATGTGTGTAAAGCTCTAAGCATAACAAAGTTTTACTTACTTAAACAATTATATAGGTCGCTCTTGCATCTTTTTTTTAAAAGACCTAACAGATCACAATGAATTTATAATTCCCCTTTTCCCAACTCCTTATTTTTCTTCATAATTAAAAAATATATCCTCGGCATTAAAATAAGTACATTTTACTATTATTAGAAAGCCCGTTTGGTGTCTCCGTTTGGTCCCTGATGGAGGTTGTTAAACATCAATTAAATAGAAAAATGAAATTATTATGTAAATAAATTTATTATTATTCTAGCGATCTGTACCATTCTCCTTGTCCTGTTCCTGTCGATACCAATTGCTTGTATAATCATAGGTATGTATCATATGATATTCTTATGATCAGAGCGAAACAACGACCTATACAAGAAAGGTGTCAACTGTTGGTTAATATTTAACCAAAACGTTATTTTATTTGTAAAAGAGTAAATTTACATGCTTATCGGCTGTGCGAATCAACTATCCATATTAGAAAAAACGACAATTGTAGGTTAATTGTTTATTTGAACGTTTTTATTTCAAAATTAGCAAAGTTGTATCTTTTTATGATCAGAGCAAAGTCTGATGATTGTTTTATGAGCAGAGCAAAGCATATTGATTGTTCAGACAATTGTAGCTTTTTTATTAGATTTACAGAATGCTTACAGGTAAGAGCATTAGAAGAAATACTAAATCGTTCTTTTAATTTTAAATTTCTTTTTTATTTTGGCAAAGGGTCGAACTAAGAACGTTGTTAAGAAGTGGTGTCATAACCAAAATCCATGCCAATGGTCCCCTTTAATTGTGATGGGTTACATTTCCATAAATGTATTTGCTAGTAGTAGTAGAATATCTGAAAAAAAACAGGCATGTATATCCATTTAGTTGAAATTAATTTAAAAGGATTTTGGAATTGTAGGAATCAATTGCAAAGTCTTATAACTTGTGAGCATAGCAATGTGATACAATATAACGTATGCAACATTTTGTTAGAACTTTAATTGTGCAATAATTGAAATTTATATCAATTGCATGAAGAATTATTATGGTTTTTAACTTCTGGTCCGACAAAGGTTAATATAATTACCTTTTGTTGTCAGGAAATATAGAATTTTTAAAAAGGAAAAGGCATGTTATGGTACTTATAAGATTCATAAAGAAAATTATCACATTTTCAAAACGTCATTGGTAACACCCTGCAGTTTTGAGATAAAAAAAAAACCATTTATTCGAGATGAACATTTGAAGATTAGTAGTAACCGTTTAAAATTTGACAGTTCTTTTCTTATTACAGGAAGCTTATATCTACATGATTGTCCAGCACAACGTTTAATTCCTATTTACTTAATAGTAGCTGGTGCTTTCTCTATTGTCAAAGATCTGTCTAGTTTGCTACAGAAAAGTAAAGCCAAGAGAACCGAGGAGGAACAAGAAGGGGGTGCACCGACAAATTTCTTTGATGGATTGATTGGTTGTTTTCTATTTGCTTGGTTCATTTGTGGTATGTGACATTTATACATCCTTGTCTTTCAAATGTTTGGAATTGAGCATTTCCGGTTAAAGTGAATCCAGCACTGCACTTTGGACTCACGAAATGAGTTAAGTGTTATTTTCATTAACTGAACCAATATTCTATTTAGTCAGGCAGCAACCATTTAACTTCAAAGGGGGGAGTAAGGTTTTTTGTCTGAAACAGAAATTTTTTTTCGCGGAAAGTTTAGTTTTTCGACGCTGATTATCAATCAAATTATTTTTTTCAAAATTTAACACTTTGAGGTATTGGGAAATCTGGATTCAGAATATTTTTTTTTGTCAACTGCTTGACCACAATATTTTTTTTCATCAAATTGGGGATCAGAATATTTTTTTCAAGAAAAAACCATACCCCCCCCCCCCCCCCTTTCAAGTTATAGGGAATAATGTAAATAAATTCACGTTGAAAGTTGACCTATTATTCATCGTCATTCAACATGATTTGCATGATATTATATATACCTTATATGGCCTGATGTTAACATGTGTTACCAACATAACTGGACACTCGAGTCAGGCAAATTACACCAACTTAATTGCTGTCTTCCCATTGAAAACCAGGCAATGGTAGACAAGGGAAAGAAATATGACCCTCCAATCCGGTAGTAAAGTAATGCTTTAAAAGATGGGTGTCAGTTGGGCATACTGTACTAATTTCATGAATGGTTTGTGTTCGTCCGGAATATGCATGACATATTTGCAACTGGACGTTAAACAAACTGCAATCTACACAATTAATAACACTGTCATAGCACCAGTACATATACCAGAAGTATGAAATAAGATCGAGATGACTCGACTGTCAAGTTATGTTGGTAAAGTTAAATTTCTCTCGTCTTTCTATTCTGCAGGCAACGTATGGATATACAGAACACACAACAATTTCTCTACTGATTCTACGAAAGCTGATTACTGTCAACCAGTACTGTTTTACTTCTCCTTCTGGTTACTGAACGCTACCTACATTCTCATAGGAATCTCCTGTCTATTGTGTTGCTGTGGCGTCAGTTTCGCTTGCTGTGCAAAGGATGACTGATAAAAAGTTACTAACTTTGATAATTATAATAATTTTAAGTAGTTCAACTAACATTTGTTATATGAGGGTCTGGATGGGGATTACAGAGTAGAGAATAATAGGCAAAAGGGGCAGAATAAAGAGTAAAATAAAAGTTTCGAGAAAAATGGACAAAAAAAAAGAATAGAGAATAATGGGCAAAAAATATAAAGAATAGGGAAATATGACCTAAAAAATCTAAGAATACAGAAAGATGGACCCCATTCATACCCTCTTATATGTTGTAAGATATTAGTATTTTTTCAGCTTTCTCATCTTTTTGGTTTAAATTCTGTTGCAAATACTTAATATGTAAATATTTGATATAAAGAAAACATTCGTAAACTCAATAGCGAGTTTAGTAGAATTTTGTTGTTGATAGGTTTTAACAACAAACAAAAGTTGGAAATCTTTCTCAATATAATAATGGTTTCTTTCCTTCAGATTATTTTATTTTTTCTTTTTTTTTTAAATTATTCTAATTTTCTGAATATAGTTTTATAGGTTAAGATAATCCTTAGTGTGTTCCTTTACTAGAAATGGTGAATATGGCCAAATCTTTTTTTACGGAAGTCGAACTGTCTTCGTTTTTATTTGACAACGATTTTGGATGGGAGATTTTTTTTTTTAATCTTAAGATGTCTTTATTTGTACTTTACAAATATCTGTGTAATCAAATATTAATGTTGTTGGGACTGTTAATGTGGGTGACCATTAACAAAAGAAGATGTGGGTATAAGTCAATGAGACCGGAACCCAACAACAGTTTATCTTTTTTTTAATAATTTTAATTTTATTCATAAACGAGAAGAATGTCATTGTCTTTTCCTGGAATTTACAATGTTCTCCCTTTATATTATATCATATATGAAAAAAATGTATAAATATTCTGACATTTCATTGTTACCGTTCCATATATTATATTTCCAATGTAAAATATTCATTGTTAAATGCTTATAATAACCTTGATACCTGGTAGTCACGGTAAAATATAGAAACGGGGGAGGGGACATACATAGAGATTTGATATGATCTGCTGCACATCATCCAACTTAAAAAGCTATAAATTCGTTTGTTTGTTTGTTTGTTTGTTTGTTCGTTCGTTCGTTCGTTGTTCGTTCGTTCGTTTATTCATTCATTTATTCTTTCGTCTGTGCTATAGAATGCTAAGCTATTATTACTAACGCTTGTTTGGAACAATAAAAAGTAAACACGATATGACGCTTGTGTTTGATAGCCGTATATCAGTACTATTATGGTTTTGAGTAAAATGTACGAAAGCATGATGGTATACTCATCTGAACAAGTACTTTAGAATTTTGAGCTTGTGTCCAGTGACAACAAACATATTTGCCACGATATCGTAAAGATTTTGTTTTGATATTTTAAAATTCCGAATTCTTAAAAAGGGTCGTAAAAAAATATTCCTTTGAATTTGACAGGTAATTTATCATACATTTCATTGCAGTAAAAAATTTCTGGGTCATAAACATATATCTTGGGTATTTCAAAGCACCATTGTTTTTTTATTTGGGGTTTCTATAGAATATTTTGGAAACTTGAGGTTACATGGTTACTAAAGCTTGCACACAGGTAAAAAAAGAGGTGAAAATTTGATTGGTTAACTTCCAGTGATGGTTATTTTCTTATATGCAATGAAATGTCATGTGAAATTTTGTCTATATTACTGGACAGGATAAAGCTTTACTCATGCCAAGTATTTCTTTATTTGAAACAAAGATAAATTCTGCACAATTTTTTGAAAAGTGCAAATTTAACAAAGACTAATAGGGGAAAATCAATGGTGGTATTACACCTCATATACATTGTACGTTTGAACAGTATCTTGTCTTCTTTTACTAGCCTACACAAAGCGGAAACCGAATTTGTAACCCTGCTAATTGCTTATGAATGAATATTAAGAGATTTCAGATCATTGAGTAAGTAATCTGATAAAAAAAAAGATGGAAAACATCAAGAGATCATCATAAGTCTTCACAATAAACAACTAATAGACGTAAAATAAACTGGTACGTTTCCTCGTAAACAATTTCTGTGGGGAGTTAAATGATTAGCCAATGATATATCTACTTACAAACTCTATGGTGTCTGTGTGCTCACACCCGCTAATGTTGTTAGCGATTGATCATCAGCGTGTAACTAAAAATGAAAGAACATTTGAGGAGAAAGTCAAAAACGAAACAACCAACTATCACAATAAAAATGGACTTGTTTAGGTTAAAAACGAAGGACAGATGTACATACATCAATATCAAGCTCTAAGTTGACGATATATAAAAACAAAGCGACAGCAACAACAACTGACAAATGTTCATGACTGGGGAAAAAGTATGATAAAGGTTATTCCAGAAATAAATTTTGTAAGCACTGAAATCGGTATTATACCTTTAGTTTGTACCCTTGATCGTAACGCTGCTGGGAGGCTATCAGTTCCGGGGTTACAATTCACCCTATATGCAGTTCTTCTCTACTTGCATGAGTTAAGCGAGGAAATTTGTCTGTAAATTTCTTTCCACTTACGCAATTAAACTAAAACTAAGGTTTCAAATTCTATAGGCAATGTTGACCTTGGACGGTTTGGACGGTTCTGTTTAGGACGGTTTGGACAGTTCTGTTTTGGACATTTTGGTTTTCATGCTCTCAAACGTATTATGCTTTTAGCTTTTCCAAACTTTTGTTTCGAGCGAACCAGATAAGGTTTTCGCAGAAAGACATCTGATGTTTTGAGCAACAGAATCTGTATCATACGTTTTTGGTAGTAGTTATGTGAATACTCAATCTCCCCTATCTCGATCAGTGTAAGAACATTTGGAAAAACACAATTAATAATTTGAATAAAAAAAACCAGCCTCACTAAAGCACATCGATAAAACAAACGACAATTATACAGAGGCGTATATAAAAATTCTACTAAGATTGTAAAGATGAATCATGAAGTTACTTGAGAAAAAGTCTAAAGAAATTTTTTTTAAACAGTGATATCTAACACGGTATTTGTTGTTTGTAATATTACTTTTGCGACTTGTCATTGAAACATGACTTTTCTTCTTGATTTCGATTTCGTATTGCTTTTAATTCATAGCGGAAAAGTTTATTGATATAAACCACATATATTCTTCAAGTCATAAAAGAACTTGAAAAAAATGGACGAAGACTATATAAGGTGTTTAACATACAAGTTATTTTGATGCCTTTGGACTTTCGTATTTGTTTAACTCTTCATCTTAACTCACAATGTGGCTGTGCAAAGTCAGTACTAAGAATGCTAGAATTGACAGAATAAATGTTGTTACTTTCAGTAGAAATCTTAACTGTTCATCAACCGAAAAAAATCTTCTTTTATTGAAAATTGAAAAAAGATACCTTGACTTTTTCCAAACATTCTGAAATGGGATGTGACGAAAGCCCTAAAAACGTACGTCGACAGTGTCACATGTGGAATTTCAAGTAACCTGAATTCAACCAAACTTGTAGGCCTCGGTGAATGAGTGGTCTAATTAGTTTATCTACTGAAATAACTGTTTTACTACCCTGTCAACACTGAGGTTGTGAGTTCGAACCCCGCTCTTGGCAGGTGAGTTCATTCCTTTCTTAATTGATTAGGATTACCAGTTTTCCTGCAGAAGTCGGTAATTCTCTCCGGGCAATCCGGTTTCCTCCAACACCACCAAGAATTAAGTAGCCACATGTACTGAAAGTGGCGTTTAAACACAAAAAACGAATCAATTAATAATAAATTGAAAATGTATTGTAATGCATTTTATATGTTGTATGTCAGTGTTCTCTTTTAGTGATTATTTTTGTCCATATGATGATATCAAGTTTACTTTTTGAATATATATTTGAAATTTTCAATATCTCCAGTTTTAGTTAAATTCGATTAACCGAATTCTTAGCTTTCCGTGTTCTTTCTATCAATTATGCCTATTGTTCCTTTTAACTATTTATTTTCCCCTTCATATTTTATACATACGTATTCATCTTCATCTGCTATGACTTCAACTCCATTTGTAGTTAAATTCGATTTACTTTGTCTTATCTATATATTGTGCCAATGTTGTTTCTAACTTTAGTTTTCGGTTTGAAGATGTACTTCTCTGTCTTACTTTGTTTGCTGGTTTATGACCGTATCGTTAGACTTTGCAATTTCTCTTTAAAGAAACACAGTGTTTGTGGCATAACATAAATATATGAATTATATTTGTATAATCAATTCATATAAGAATGTACTCACATGTACGGGCAAGCCAATCGTTTGTAAATGGTCTACATGTATAAACAATACATTATAATGATTTTATGAATTAGACCGAAATTTACGATGATATAATGTTAATCCGTTATTTAAATATTTGGTGTTAGTTGTAGGGCGGAAATCTAAACGAAAATTGCGATTCTGATAAGTGTATTAAACATTAAAGTATTAAAATATCAATATTCATATTGGGGTTAATACATGTACATGTATTTGACTGTAAGGTATTCAAAAATCAATATCTATTCATAAGAATAGTAATACACACAACGGAATCAGAAGACAAAGGTCAGTGTTAAAAACTTATTATTTTGATTCAGTTCGAGGTTAAAAATCTTTTTTTCATCATCTGCTATTGTGCAAAAATAGTCATGTTTGTGTTTTGAATAATAATGTAAAAATCCTGGTATAAAAATTATGGCTTTGTACATCAAGGTTTTTTCACTGTTTTACGAATATTAAAATAAATTAATTATAGTAAATAAACTCTTCATAGATACCAGGATAAAAATTGTGTACACCAGACGCGCGTTTCCTCTACAAAAGACTCATCAGTGAAGCTCGAATAATAAAACTTAAAAAGGGTAAAATAAAGTACGAAATTGAAGAGCATTTAGGAAGAAATTCTGAAAGGTTTTGCCAAATACAGGCAAGGTAATTAATTCCTTGGGTAGAGAATCCTTAATATTTCGAAAAATTAAAAGTTTTGTAAACATTTAATATATAATTATGACAATACAGTTAATCTTCAAGTATGAGGGGGAGGTAGTCTTCTCCCTTCTCCCACCCTTAACCTCCTTTCTCCCGCCCCTCACCTCCTTTCTCTCACCCCTCTTCTCCTTTCACCCACCCGAAACATATATCTTCCTATCAAAAAGTTAAGAATTTATAATTGAAAGACTGTGAGATCAACAGTCAAAGGGAGAGCTTTGTCGCTCTCCTTTTCCTGTTAAATTACTTGAAAACCTTAAGCCTCGTTTATCTTGTTACTAGAAACAAACCACAGTGTGGTATACCTAAGAAATTTAAAGTTTTATTTATGTTGTACCAACATTTAGGAAAATGCACACACAGTATTAAATTTATAATATTCCAATAAGACGAAACCATCCAGAAATAATAAGATCAATCTCATAAACAATTTGAAGATTCCCGTACAGACAAACAATTTGAAAATAAATTAGAAATTAATAAAAGGGTTACTTATATTCCCATTTCTAGAATAAGAACACACTTCATGGACTTGTAATTAAAATGGTTTGTGTTCGTACCGGCTGACAAAGCAGGCAACAATGTGATGGAGGTATGTTCTATGCAGAAATGCGTAAGAATGAAATTATAAAGTCTCGTACTTTCAAGTCCGTGCGCACCACAGATCAAATAGTAAACAATCATACCATTACCACAACTCAGCTTAAGGCCTTCTCTGAACACTTGAAGATATCTATAATTATATATTTGCTACTTTCACTACACAAAAAACCTGTCAAATATCGTTTCATCTCAACATCCTTTCCGAAATTGCCTTCCTATTTTTAGCTTTGAACAATGGGCAAAACGATAAACTTCACATACGAAACAGGATAGGGTACATGTAACCCTTGCTTATAAGGGTTCGTATTATCCAGATATTTCTAGCGTTTTAATGACTGTTTTTCATGTATATTTTTTGGGGATTGTCAGTACAATGTGCTGTTGGTTTTGATTTTACTCGCCTGTGTATTATTTTCTTTACTTGCTTGTGTACTTTTCTCTATTTTACTCGACTGTGTATATTTCTCTAACATTTTGATCTTCTGTAACTTATTAGTGAAAGCAACGATTAAAAGAATATAACGCTTACATTTTGGCTCTTTCAAAACGCTTTTCCCAAGTTTACTTTCACCAGAAACGCGCAAACCCAGAAATTTGACGCCAAGGATGTATAAATACTTGAGTACAATATTGAATTAGTTAGTCTTTTTATTGGTTCAGACGTTAAAACAAAAGAAAAAAGCAAACCATAAATGTTTTATGCAATAATTTGTTGTCAAGTAGTGTTGTTGTTCAGTCAGTTAACCTGTAATAAATCTTTCCGTCACTTTAAAGTTTAACTTTTGATGTGAATCGAAATTTTAATTCTTCCATTCATTTAAATATTTCAAATGACTTCGATCATTTGTTTGCTGAATATCTGTATAAATATTTACTTTCGTACATAAATAAGTAAATACTTTTGTTAAATTTTTAGGGAAGGTTGAATACTTGTTTAAGCTGTTATTTCATAAGATCTATTACATCTATTTCTTTGTGTAATAATTACTTCAGTTCCGTTGTCGGAACCATGAATTATAGTTGCTGTCTCTTTTTCTGTTTGCTTTCAGCAGATAAAAGATGTAAGATTTGAGCTCTGCATTTCATTATTTATTTATCAGATCAAATTCTATTGTACACCCACATGAATTACATAACACTTTTGATTTTGTATAAATGGTACACGTTCAAAATTTGTTATATGTAAAGTGTGCACTGTATATCTTCTACAAGTTCTCCGTCCATAATTAGAGGCTAAAACCATTTTGTATACTAAGGGTTCATGTTGCTTTTGCATTATATTTCTATATTGTTTTCTGTGCTAAGCTTTGTTATTTTTTTACCAAATGTAATGAAACTTAAACACAATATTTTTAACTACAAAACTTGCTTTTACCATTCTTGAGTTATGTACCTTTATAACGTTATATGCAAACGGGGCATCATCTGTGTCCCATGGACACATTCTGCATTTATTTAATTTTGTGTCATGTTGGATATAATTATTATTCTTGTTTACATATTATTGTATTTCCGTTTCATAGCTTTAACATTTGGTCATGCTTTAAGGTTGGAGAATTCGCATATATAGTAGTTTATGAAATCAATGTCGTGATGTCTTATGTTTATAAAAGGAACTTTTATCAATTTGTCTTTGACATGATGAATTCATTACTGACTACAATAGGATTTTAACATGAACATGATGATGAGCGTCTTGGTAAGGAGTACTTGAGGTCCTCGTCTTGTTGCTCAACACTGGATTTTCTTTGAAGCTTGTTTCTGATTGTTGTTTGTCATCTCGTCTTTTATTCTCTAGTGTTGTCTGTTTCTACGACTGATGGTTTTGGATTGCTCATTGGTATTTTCTTACCTTAATTGTTATTGTGTATTACAACTCTTAAGCCAATACCACTGCTTATGTACTGTAAGTCTAAATAAGTATTGCTAGCTCTGCTGTAATCAGTACTTTAGCACTAACAAGGTGTTCCTTAAATATTAATAATTGATTTTTTTTAATCCACAATAAATGCTGAATTGGTTAAATTCTAAGGTTATACTCTCGATGCATATGTATTCCTTAACTGGTATTGGCTTCTAAATGTTAATAGTATTTTGGATTTATAACTTTTCGACTTTTAATACTTTTGTTCTTCCAGTTTTTGCGTTTCTTGATGAGACAAAAGTTTTGAAAACATTGTTTATCAAATAAAATCTTGTTATATGGTTTTATAATGTTTCTTATCAACGGATAAACCAAGACGCATAAAACCGTGTCATGGGACTCCTCAGAAAGAATCTTCTTATTGTGGAACGAGATTTGTAGAAAGTCAAGTCAAGTTGAATATCCCTTTGGTATCTTTCGCCTCTCTTTTGTTAACCTGTGCAGTAGTATTATTTTAACAATGACTGTAATGATTAAGAAACACTCTATAACTGCAAAACAACAATTTTCAACTTGAATTATACAATTATTAAACCGAGCATTACAAGTAATTATTCCGCATATAGTTATAACTAATCGGGACACATCCCTTACCCAAAGTACAGTTCACGACTGTATAACCTACTCTGGCATAGTCATTGTCGGATATAACGTTATAAATACTTTTAACTGCTTTGTCACTCATAAATATAATAAATAAATAAATGATAAAAAAAACCAAACTGAACCCTTCCATGTTAATAGATAGGAGTTTTTATTTATAGTAAGTAGAGATTCCAATTTAGTTTAAGAATGTTGAATATTCATTGAAATCTGCGGGGGTGCGTGTTGTCAGCAGATTTAGATAAGCTACATATCTCTTGTATTGAAGTTCTCTGTCAAACATTTCATTCGATAAAGTTAAGTACCATGATATACGACAAATGTAAATAAAGAATGTATATATTATAATATAGATAAAGATAGTTATTTCATCCTCCTTTGCAGATTTTTATTGTCATCTCATCTCGTATACACATTCGAAAATGGAGGAACCACCATCATATGACTCCCTATTTGGTAAAATTGCTGCGGCAAAGGTTACTTCCGATGGAAATGTTGATTTCGCGCGAAAATCAATAGGAATTTTGTGCGGATCAGGTAAGTAAACAATTTATTTACGATAATACAAGATTCACACATATTTTATATGAAAAGCACTACAGATTTGTGATGCTATTATATTAAAGATTTTTAGCAACAAAATGAAATCTGTGTATTGGTACCGTAGCACGCTTTGTTTTTTTTTTTTTTTTTTTTTATTTTTTCATAATATATGCATGGTCGCGACATATGCATTAAATTGAAAGGGTTGAACTTACCAAGACAATGTTTCGTAAATTAATAAGACCTGATTAAATAATAATAACTTCATTATTTTTGTTCATCTCAAAAGATTTAATGTGTATTTTACATTTATATGTTGAAACAAAACCAAAAGCAATTTATATAAAAATAGCAATTTAATATTGGTTGCAAAGTTATAGGAAACGTATTCGTGTACATTGTCTTTGTATTTTTAAAGTTGACGGTACTGGATTGACATGTCATTGTGTAATGTATTGGTTGCATGTTTTAAACAATGAAAACAACACGTTATTAATTTCATGCGTCCGAAGTACTTTTCTGGATTTATCTTCATCAGGAACGCTCAAAGCCAAATATTTGAAAGCCATGGATGTATAGGAACCGAAATAGGTGAAGAGCTTTATGACCAAAAAGGACCTAAAAATAGCAAAATCCATCTAAGGTCAACTTTGCCTGTTTGAGTTGAACCTTGTTTCTAAATAATTTCAAAATTTATAAACGGACAATTTTAGAAAGGTTTGTTATAAATCATGTCAGTACCGAAGTACTGACTACTGAGCTGATGATACCCTCGGGGACTGATAGTTCACCAGAAGAGGTATCAACCCAGTGCTGTAGAAAATGAAAACAAAACATTATAAATTTCATGCGTCCGAAGCGTTTTTCTGGATTTACCTTTATCAGGAACGCTCAATGCCAAATATTTGAAAGCCAAGGATGTATAAGAACCGAAACAGTTGAAGAGCTTTATGACCAAAAAGTTGAAGGATAAAGTATCGTAGAAGGTCCATCGCGAAAATCATGATTGGATATCTGCCTATTATGTCTTACACACAATGACAAGTTTGCTTCCAATAATCGTTTAGTGCTTTTAATATTCAAGTGTAACATTTTGAATTTCTCTGGAGGTAAATGTATTCAAAGGTTTTTATTTTAGCAGTTGAATGTGTATGGGAATGAAACCTCTACCAAATCATTATCTGTAAAGATGAACTTTGTTAAAACAAAAAATGTTCCACTGGTGGGCAGGATCTTCTTACTTTCCGGAGCACCTGATATTAACCCCAGTGTTTGGTGGGTTCGTCATGCTCAATCGTTAGTTATTTTATGTAGTGTTTTGTGGACTTCTTTGTCTTTTTATCGTCTTCCTTTTCCCTCTATAGCGTTGACAGTTTATCTTCGACTTATGAGTTTGGAATGTCGCATTGGTATCGTCAGTCTCTTCTTGTTTAAAACTTTAGAAATAATATTGGAGATCATTATTCTAAAATCTGGGCTTAGAATAACGAATCAATTAGGGTGCAACGAATACACATCCTTGTTATAAATATGGTTTAAAGTAATGACATTTTTTATTTCAGTATTAAAGTTAATACTATAAAATAGGCGTATGCAGTTTGCTGTATAACAATAGGATGTTGTACCTTATTTCTGTAAACGCTAAAATAAGCCAAGCAAGATTTAAATTTTTTGAAACGGTCATTTTGGTCTGATCAAGTGTAAATCGACTGAACATCTCGCAAGAGAAAAATGTTAAGAATTTTGCATATATATTCTCACTTAATTAATTTTGATCAATTTTGTAAACTGCAGTTGCTTCTCCCTCAAACAAATTGGCCTTGAGTGGTTATGTCTAATAACATGCATCTGACGCAGCGAAGAAACTTTACTTTAACCTTATTAGGAAAGCAAACCTTTTATTTTATTTTTATACTACTAATATAATCTCTTGTACAAAATGACACAGTACACTGGGTTGATATATGAATAAGAAGACGTGGTATGATTGACAATGAGACAACTCTCCACCAGAGACCAAATGAAGTAGAAGTTAATAGTAGTAACTACAGTGGAGATCACTTCTAACCTCTCATCAAATCTATCAGAATCTGTCAGGAGAACTGTCCTAGGACAGTAGGTAGAACTGTCATCCTGACACCTTTTAGACAGTTCTAGCTAGAACAGTTCTAACCCATAACTGATTTGGTCAGTTCTACCTAGAACTGATTAAGACAGTTCTTACTAGAACTGATCCTGACAGTTCTACCTTAGAACAGTTTTAGACAGTTCTACGACTAGAACAGTTCTACGATTAGAACTGATTTGGTCAGTTCTACGGCTAGAATTGATTTAGTCAGTTCTGTCCATATATATATTATATAATATTCGCTGTCTCAAATACATTGAAATTCTGTTAACTTTGACAGGAGGCATTTTGCGTGTGGCTTTATCAACGATAACAACAACACTGAATGGTGACCAGTGAGATGCCCTAACTGCAGTGACGTCATTTAGAACTGTTCTACAATCCTGACAGGTTTGGTCAGTTCTACGGCTAAAACTGATTTGGTCAGTTCTGCTGACTGTTCTACGACAAGAACTGATTTGGACAGTTCTACCCTAGAACTGATCCTGACAGTTCTACCTAGAACTGATTTGGTCAGTTCTACCTAGAACTGATTCTGACAGTTCTACTTAGAACAGTTCTAGGGTAGAACTGTTCTACGTAGAACTGTTCTAGAACAGTTTAGAACAGTTCCATGATAGATTATTCTGACAGTTCTAATGAGAGGTTAGAAGTGATCTCCACTGTATATTTCATCATACGGTCTTCAAAAATGAACAAAATCCATACCGCGTAGCAAGCTATAAAAGGCACCAAAATGACAAATGTAGAACAATTCAAACGAGAAAATGTACAAAACAATAAATAAAATAAAATGAAATACAGCAATAAACGACAAAGAGACAAACAAAGCATGCTACACTATTCATATTTAGCTTTGTAATGAAGTTAAGTAAAGTATCCCTCGTCTTTTTAGTCTGTATGTAAGATTTACTAATCCTTGGCATTTTCCTTACATGGATTACATTATTTAATTCCTTTTTTAATCTTTGTTTCAGTGATTGCCACAATATTACTAGTTTTGTCCTTAGCAGTGCCAATAGCAGCCATTGTAATAGGTAATTTGTCGTTTTATTGACTGTAAAGATTATAAATGCAAATAACTGTAGCAAGAAAAAAAATTCTGATGTAAAGAGCAGAAGAACTAGATGTTGAACATTTTTTTTAGCAGCTGTATATATTTACTACATATTTCCTTTATCCCATTTTTAACTACCGGATATAATGAAATCGTTATTGAGACTTTCAAGACCGAATGTGTCTTTTATCATTTTTATGAAATAAACGTATTGAAACTGTTTTCACTTGATAGTATATATATTTATTTAGGAAATGAAATATATAGTCATATGATGAGTGTTCCAATAAGGACTAACTGTGCCACTCTAATCGCAGATTTGTTTTTTTATGTCAGTAATTAATCATGGCCAACCTCATGATGACCAATCGAAACATGACTGAATTGATATTTTCAACAATTATACCGTATTTTCTCAAAATAATCCAGATATACGAATGAAATTTCTTACACGAACTAAATCTAGTATTCTAAATAGATCGAATATTCAAATTGATCGTTATCCATTTTCAAGCGTTGATATTAAAATTTCGAGTTGTAATTCTCATTCAAAAAATGATAACAAAAGGGAAAGCTGCATCTCTCCTATATTGTTTTCCATTCCTCAAGGCAATGTGCCTTTTTCTCTTATTGCAGAGTGTACATTTCTCCGTTAGTTTAATATGCAAGTATTTGCAGTGACGTATGCTATTTTAATGAACGGAAACGGAAACATTACTAAAACGTTTACACTAGGGTAATAGATATCATGAAGATATAGTAAATAAGTCCAAACATTTATTAACATTATGATTAATCACAATTAAAGGTAAGTGTTAATCGCCGACGTACTATTCAATTTACAGAAATTGAATAAAAAGTATTTCCTTTTAATTGTTTAAATAATTACTAAAGCAAACAAGTTTGAGTAAAAAATACGGTATGGGTGTTGCTTAATGTTAAAAACAGAACGTTGACCTGTAGTTGTTCACATCCCTGTCGTTTGGTCTTTTGTTGATAGTTCTCTTGTTGGTCAGTCATAAGACCACACATCTTTGTTTTTATATAAAAATTTGCATTTATAATCTGTTATGTGTACTTAAAAGGCTAATTGATAAAGATTATAATTAGGCTATTGGTGTTAAACCAAATTCTCCTTTGATAATGTTAAAAATATAGGACTAAGCTGAATAGAGAAAATTTGGTTAACATTAACCCCAGAAATAAATCTTATGCATGAAAGCATTTTATTTAGTAACAAGGGATTTTCCCCTGCGGAGCAACACACAAAATCTCAATTTGGTGTTCATGCTATTCTTCATTTTTACACATAACATCCCTTAGTTCATTATGTTTTTTTCATGTTAGGTTTGGAAACAGAGCTTCATTTTGATGAAAAAAAATCATTATTTCTTTCTATTTAGGAGGACTGTACCTACATGACTGCCCAAAACAGAAGTATATTCCTATATACCTGATCGTATTTGGAAGTTTTTCCATTGTCAAAGCTTTGTCGAGTTTGGTAGACAATTGCAGAGCCAGGAAAAATGAAGGACAGCAGGATGAAAACAAGCCTAAAAGTGCATGTGACGGAATCATTGGTTGTTTTCTATTTGCATGGTTTATAGCAGGTACATATACAATATAATATTAAAAATTTTGACATCCAAGTTCTCATTGTACAGCAGATCTAGAAAGACCTACTAAAACTGTACATGGAAAATATTAAATATAAATTATAGCTGTCAACTGTTAAATAAACAAAGGAAAAGAAAAGATATATATGGAATTATATAATGTGAAAAATGCATTTTTAATGATTGATAAGAATCACGGACTATGATATTAAACATAAATTTAACATTACTATTATCACATCAAAAGGATTACCAATTTAAGCAATAGGATTGGACGCAAGTGATCATAACTTATATTAAGTCCCCTCCTTACAATTTGCATATATAATAACAGAAAAACACATACGACCAGACAGTATAAGTAGAAAGCAAAGGAGGTATCTCAGTTTTGTGTAACCGAGAAAGCGAAAGAGAAAAAATAGAAAAATTAAAACCGATTGTTCAGAGAACAATTGAAGGTCGTTCAATCTTCAAATTCACACGTTTTGATAATTTAAGTTGAAATGAACCTTAATAAAGATATCCACTGAATTTTACTTTTTTTTTATATAAAATAGGCGACTGAAATAGTAACTTCCGGTTACTTTTTAATTTACTTCCGGAGTTAAATGATAGATTGCCTACATCTTATTCCAAATATATATAGTTTCTATCTATATATTTTCTATAAAATATTGGAGATAATTTGCTACTACCGGTTTAAAAAATGTCATTACTGGTGCCTAATGTTAGCGCACATAACACTGAATAGAAAACTATATGGTTTCTATACACTTTTGTTTGAAATATAGAAGAAAACTTTCAATATCAATTTGTGCATTCATATTTGTTAGATCATTGACTAAAAATGTACTGATATTGACATTCTAGAAGGTAATGGAAAGCATCTTCCACAGGAATATTGATTGATTACTAGTATATCGTTTGCAGGAAAAGTCTGGGGTTATACGACATAATTATTACAATTTCTCATCAGAATATGTTTAATTGGCTATTTACATTATTTGGCAAGCAATGTCTGGATTTCTACGATAAATAACAACTTCTCTGCACATTATTTTTAGTTGGTCATTTATATTTTTTCAGGAAATGTCTGGGTTTATAAGACGTATAAAAACTTCTCTACAGATGAATCGAGCGAAGAATACTGTCAACCAACATTATTTTATTTCTCCTTTTGGTTAATTACTGGTACATACATAATTATGGGACTATTTTTTCTCATCTGTTGTGGATGTTGTATTTCAATGTTATGCTGTAGTGCTAAAATGTCAGCATACGGACCAGCTAAATATGGTGTATAAGGAACGTTATGTGAGAATATTTGGGCATTACTATATTTTAGTGACACTGCATTTATGGCATCAGAATTACAGGATAGACATTTTTCACAAAGAAGTAGAGGTTACAATCAGTATATCTGCACCATTAAGAGAGGATGGAATCCTATCTAACAGTAGAAATATATAAATAAGTAGAAAAATTCGATATAGAAAACTATATATTAGTGAATTCAAAATCTTTCAATTTTACTTGTCTGTCTTTCTCAAATGCTCATCACGGAGATAACACGGTGTACGTCGTCTCTTACAGGTTACGCCTGCTTCATGCATGTGAGAGTTTTTAATATATCAATGAAAAAAGGGGTTTCGTTGTAGTATTTTATATTTTTAGAAATAAACGTTTTAACAACATTTCTGTTGTTATTTTCTAGGCAACTCATTATCCATTTGTATTTACTTTACATAAATCAACAAACGTGTATAGTTTTAACATTATTTTGTTCACTTTTTATATCGACGTCATCATGATGCTATATCTTAATGTAGTCAACAGTAATTTACCGATGGTCATATGATTCTGTGGTCAAGATCAGGTGACAAAAGTCAAAATAAACAGCCCACCTCGCTTCAAATATGATTTAAAAAAATGCATAAAATTCAATATATTCCCCAAAATACAACCTCATATCACCAATTAAAAAGTGTTCAATCAATTTTTTCCGAAATTTTTCACAATTGACTTTTTCATGCAATTTATATTTTTTTATATAGCAATGCGATAAAATTTCGTATCCCCTATCTCCCTTACTTATGAAATAAAATGTAGCATGGCGTTTACATATCTCCGTCAATGCGATATGTCGTGGTATGTTATTTTTGGATTTCTCATTCGACCAATTATGTTATGAAAATTTTGAAACTGTAAACCTTTTTGCGAAAATTTATTACAAAATCACGTGTTTTGCTCACTAGGTTAAGTACTTGAAAGTCAACATACGAGATTCATTTTAATTTTTTCGTTAAAACCATATTCCGACTGTCGAACATCTGACGTTATTACCGAGTCTTCTAAGGATACGAGCACATATCATATAACGACTGAGGCGCATCAACATAAATTATGTATACCCTGTTGATGCATCTAGTGTGAAAGCCGGTTGGAGTTCGCGTAATTCACATTGCTATCACTTTAATGTTTGCCTTTTTATGTTCCTCCAGGTAAGTAGATTTTGATTTTTTCAATAGAACAACACTATAAACCAGACGAGATATTTTATGTTCAACCATCAGTAAAGTACTTTTAACAAATAACCCATACTAAAGCTGCTATTGTATTGCATTACTTACTTTACCTGTAGGTTTCTTTTGAGAAGTTTCGTTTATCAGTTGGAATTGAAAAGAAATTGATTGGATTAATATGGGACAATATTTTATGGATGGTTGATATATTATTTCATCATAATAAAAGTTATTTGTGACAAAAATGTCATGAATCTTTGACTAAACATTATAAGGAATAGGATAACAGTTAATCCTTAAAAAATTCAGGAAAAAACATCAATTTGTGGAAATTGTGTTTTATAAAAAATATTCAAGCTATTTCATGCAAGCTTGTACTACGAAAATCAGATAGAAAGTGACACAAGAATCGAATATGCCTTCTACGTATGTCTATCACATTTTGTTTTGAACAATGTAAATTGTCCATTTCCTGTCCTTATCTTACATAAAATTACGTCTTAAGGCTTTGTTGTAAACCTTAGTTCCAGTCATAGCAAAATAGCTACGAAAAATGCATGGAACATATCCATGATCATCTGACGGATATTCTATTACAGGATTTACCATAACGAACCCTTGGTTCAATAGCTTTTCCGGAAACTCAAGCAATGGAACATCATATCATCTGGTTAAAATAAACTCCATTTGCAGGCGCTACACATAAACGAAAAGTTCACAATGGGAAACCAGGAATCATACCGGTTATGGTAAAGATAGGTTCCAAACCGGTTGTCATTGTCAATTTCTTGGTGTAATTCAATATGTAGCAGACTTAACCGTTTCTGTAGTATCCGTGATATCATGTGCAATGTAATAGAAGCGGAACGAGCAGCCAAGAGAAACTGCTTTTGTTTCAGCTCCTGTATGAAATTTGCCTCACACACACCTTCAACAACATATAAAAAATATGTCTTTAATAAAAAAAAACAGTATCTCGGTGACCACATGTTCAGTTAATTATTTTGGTGAATCCGACTATCGTTTACAAAGAATGATTTGTCCCTAACTAAAACATATTGATATGTTTGTATCTACGTTGGCTATTTTGTTTGGAAAATAAGTTTGACTAATGATTTCAATCTGTTTTTAAATTTATCATCATGATCAGAAGTTAATTTTTTATTACGTTCAACAAATATCCCATAAATCTTTCGCTGGAATATTGCAGTACTCTTCTAAACTTTAGATTACTTTTGAATAGTTTGATTTATCAATTGTAATGTAATTGTCAACAAACCAAATACAATAGGCGGCAGTATTTGATGGATGGTTAATAGAATCTCATTACAATATAGTTGTTATAAAAATGTCAAAAATCTGTGCCTCTGCATTATAATCAATATTATGGAAAAGACTATTTCTTGAGAGAAAAACAATACAAACAGGAGAAACGTTTATTTGTACATGGAAACCTGTATCTATTGACAAAACACAAGCCCGTCGCAAGAAAATTTTGTTTTTAATTCATCGTACAACGAAAGAAAGGTGAATAAGGTATAAACAGAGAGAGGATACGAAAATAATTAGTATTTTTTTTTGGCATTCGATGTAAACTTAGGACACAATTTATAAATAATAATTCAAACTTATGTCTTTCACATATCCTATATCACCATAAGGGTCATACAGTATTTTTCAGCTGTTCTATATAGATCGCCAGCAAATATTGCTACCTTCAGCACTATTTTGTTTCCTTGGATTATATTACAAATTTGAATTTAAACCAAATATGTCTATCAATTTGTATGTATACTGACCCAATACAGGCCTAATCTAACATACAAAATAATAGTAATGTTGTAAACATTAGTCCTAGTCATAGCAATAGCTGGTGCAATACTCCCGATACTATTGTACCAATGACATTTTAGTGGGGGGAATATTGACCACTATTTATAAAGGGAAGTAATTTTTTGTCGGAGTATTTTATTCTGAGTCTGCAGAGACATATAGATATACACTTCCTACCATAAATTTTGCAGAAAACGTGAAGAGAACGATAACTTTCAATCTGTAATATTGTCTAGTTTAATCGATACTATAAATAAATAACCGTTTCATTGCCCTTTGTTTGTGTTACCTTTGTAATTAACCTGACCTAATTATTTTCTTCGGGTACATTTTAATAGACCTGTACAAATCAATTAATTGATTTGAACATCTTATGAATATCAACAAACGTCCATAAATCCCAGGTAATTCAATACACAGTTTTTTATTTATAAGTTTAGCATATATGGTGTGCTAATGAATACATATAAAATATCGGATATTGTGTATTGATATGCAGTTTTTCAAAGGTATGTGAACTGTCATAGAAATATTTTGAATAGTTTTGAAAAAATTGAAGATATAATAGTGTCCAAACACGTCACCAATTAATTTACATTGATTGAAAATAAAAAGTTGTCATATTTGAAGATATTTCGTCAACTTATATACTTATTTTTAAATCATATGTCAACAATTTCACATCATAGAAAGGTATAATTTGTTGCGAAATATTGAGGATATTCAGTAGTATGAATCTGAAATAAATGTTTATGCGACTTACCATCGAAGGTATTTATATCATGAATTTCACTAATTACTGTAGAAACAATCAAATGTCAAATCACGAAATATTGAAAGATATGCGTATGAGCAATTTGGAATTAGTCTATTTGATATTCTGGTGGGTGATAAGAGGATTTTCGGTCCGACGAAAGATTTATTTTCATCTTTTGCGAGGCTCACTTTTTTTTTGGCGCAATTTATTTTCTATTTTGTACACAATTATTTCCTCCAAATGGCTGCATTTCACTGTCAACATTCACAAAGATGTTGAACTTCGTATATAATTAATATCTATTTTTATAATCGTCTTTTAAAAGTTATAACTATAAAATAAGACACAATCAACGTGTTCGGCATTGTACTAATTGGGAATTTGAACGATGTAGTATAAAAATGACGATATTTTAGTTAATCTCTTTTTTTGGTTCCTTTCTACAGTTAATTAGCTATGAATACGGATATGGAAACTTCATGTGAAAAGGCTCCTGAGTATACAGGTAAATAGTGTCCTTATTAATCAATGTGATAAAATACATCAAAAATTGTTCCGTATAGAAACACACATACACAGATAACTTTTATTCAATCTAATACTTTAATACATCTTCACATGTCTGTGCGTTTTGCCCAATCATTATTCCAAAATAGCAGAAGTCTTTTGACAGTCGCAATAATTTTCATGAATAGCTGTCATTGGCTAAGTATAATGGACATTTTACTTGTAACGTTGACAAAATTATTCCACTTGAAACTCTCCTGACATTAAGGTAGTAAATGGTTATCCTTGGTAACGTGTGCATCTTTTAAAATAAATATTCACAAGTTCGAGAACGATTACGCTAGAATACTTCAACGAAAACTATAAATACATGTATATTATATATATTAATGCACACAAACGTATACTTGTATATATCTATATTATCAAGAAATTCCTGTTTATAAATGTTCGAAGCAAAGACTTATTACTTTTGTATTATTCAGACCAGCCACCTCCAACATACGAATCACTTTTTGGACAGATAAAACAGGCAAAGCAGAACTCAGGTGGAAATGTTGCCTTTGCCCAGAATATAGTTGGCATTACCACAAACTCAGGTAAGATACTGCAATAAGATTAATATACAAACCATATATGGTGCGTTTTTGTTGTATTTAATCTGAATAAATAGTGATGAAGTATCAAAATGTGTTTACCAGATGGTCAATATTCCAGAAAAATCGTGCAGTCATGAATAGAATTGATTAACACTTACCCAGAAGACGAAAAACAAATAACAAACGGAAAAAGAAAAAAAGAAAACACATAAAGACAGGACCACACCGAACTAAAACAAAATGTAAACTCTCAAAACTAGAATGAATTCGTTTATGATCAAAACCAAACAACATATAACATACTATTGCATTGATTTCTTTTATTGTTTTTTTTATTTACATGTCCATTATTGTTTACGACAGAAATTTCGGTAAGTTAATTGTAGCATACTATTTTGTACGCATTTTCCACTCTTATATTTCAATGTTTTATGTTTTTTTTTATGCAGAGAATTAACTTTTATTAAAGAAATACATAGGGATGCAATCTAGCTTTTCACAAAAACAGTTTTAATGGGAAAATGGGGAATAAATGACGTATGATGTCAGTTGAAATAATGCTGACAGCATAACGCTTTTGTTTTTAAAGAAAACACAGCTGGAATCAACTTACACGAAATTTGGGGTTTTTGTGGTAAACAAGTATGTAATATGATGAACTCGATAACGTTGTTAACTCATGAGGTTTCACATACGATCAACATGCACAGACCAAAACAACTACAAAGTCTGTTTTTTTAACATAAACAGTGACGATTGAACTTTCAACCTTAGACTACTATTACACATAGTGGTCTCAGCTTTATCCATAGTCATGAATTGTGTTTAATGTTGCATTGCAATGTGTAGGTGTCAAACATTTAATTGTACGCGTATTCAATACGCTTTTTGTGACAATTTGTTTTAGGAAAATGCTAAAAGCAAAACGATGGGACATTATTTAGAAATAGTTAGATCCCAAAGACAGAGATAGAGAGATGTTAAGCATTTTAGGATAACCTAATCATTAAACAAATTCCACATCTAGTCAGTTGAAATTTCTTGCCGGAACAACAGGAATGGTTATATCGCATGCAATCCCCCAGCAGTTGCATTGACACGAGGAGTCGACATGAAAGAATTTATTGTAACTAATTTCTAAATTCTTTCATTGTTTTTTTTTTTAGTTGGATATATCATATTCTTGGTTTTAGTACTCGCCATTCCAATAACTTGTATCGTAATTGGTAAGTTACGTAACTTAAAATAATGCTGTAAGGTCATACATTTTAAATGATGTTAGCATTCACATTTTGGGGGAATTTTATACTTCACATAGTTAACATAATCAGATATGTTTTAAAACAACCTTCATACACAAAAATACGAAACAAATGAAATATGTAAATTTAATGATTAAACAAGCCAACAAATACATGTACTTTCTCTAATCTTTATTCGTTTTAACTTTCACATTCCGTTTGTCTATTTGTCGTCCATTATTAACGTGAGGATATCATTCTCTTTATTCTTAAACAAAATCACACTGGTCAAAATCCAATTACGATTTCTTATTTACTTGCAGTTTCTGATTTTCATCTTGTGATGTCACTATAAATACGACAATAACTAATATCTCACAGGATTGCACAATTTTTGAAGATGATTGAAAAAATGTTTTATTACATATCGTGTGGAAATTATTTAAGGAACATTTATTTGATGTTCAGTGAACAAAATGCGTACCTCAATCAAAGCAGAAGTGGAGTTTTTATTTACCTGTCCACGTTCACTTGAATGAAGTTCATTTCATTGCATTATGCAATATATATGATCATTCCTCATCATTGTCAAATAAACGCCACTACTTTCATTTTAGGGTCATCCTTCCTTCATCAGTGTCCAGCACAAAGATACATACCTATCTACCTCATAGTTTTTGGTGTGTTTACATTAATCAGAGATGTATCCAGTCTGATACAAACATTCAAGGCTAGGAAAGATGGAATCGACGAAAATCAACAGCAGAAACCAAATGCTTTTGATGGACTTCTAAGTTGTTTTCTATTCGCATGGTTTATTTGTGGTAAGTCTAAATACATATATGAAATAACACAAACAATGTTAGTCTGTCATGTCGTGTCTAAAACAATGTCTTATAACACAAATCTTGAACAACTAAACAGATCAGCTTATATGCAAAAAGTGTCTTTTATTTTGACAAAGAGTTCGTATTTGTTTTGTCATTTTGATTATTCAACATCTTCCCTACAGGTGCTTTTTTTCCAAATGTTGCTTATTCGACACACAAAATGTTTGAATGTGCATGTTGCCAGGGAAGCTAAGGAAATTAAGGAAATAGTAGATTGCCGATGTTCAAGTCTCAGAAATCGATAAGACAAAACCCAGGGAATCGCGTGATCTCCAAAAGGAGCCATACCTAATACATCCACAGCATAAATTAACGTTACAGTAGTTTCCCGATATTTAAATCTCGTAAATCGATTAAGAAAAAACGAATCAAGGTAGCAAACAGAAAATGAGGGAGTCCCATGGACTCGAAAAGGAGCTAAAACGGATGCGTCTACAGGGTAAGCTTCTCTGGCTACGCATGCATCACCCGCATTGCAAGTTTTTACTCAGTTAAAATGTCACAATCGTGAATAGGTCACAATCGTTACACTTTTTGATTAGACGACTATTCTGGCATCTAAAGATCTTCGCCTGCGAAAACATGTCGTTAGTGAGTTGAGTAGCAGACATATCATATCGGTCAACAAATTCGTGATAGTAACCGTAAAACATGTCGTTAGTGAGTTGAGTAGCAGACATATCATATCGGTCAACAAATTCGTCATAGTAACCGTAAAACGTATGTACATTATTAATGTCGTTCTTCTTAATAACTCTGTTTGAGCAGTTTTTGTGTAAGGCGCACATTTGTGTAAAATAGAAAATGAGTTAGATACTCATCGATTTTGCATTGAAAATTAAATTTTTTTAAATAAATACTAGTAAATACTTAATATTGCTAACCCGACGCCAGGTCTTCAACGTGTTATCTGATGGGATACTGCCAAATGGTCAGATAACAACAGGGCATATCATATGAAATCTAAGAACAAGTAAGACCGAATGACCATGTAAAAGCAGTCCCTCCTTAACATACATGAACCTTGCAGTCATACAATGCAAAGTAGGAAAAAAACAAACCGTTTATGATGTAGATTGCAGACATTTGGAAAGTAGCTGGAGATTGACATATCATTATTATTCATTGAATTAAAAAATCACAATAAATAAAATAGACATCTACGGGTTAAAGATGTTTCACTTGTATTTATAGTTATATAGGGCACATTGTTTACGATAGATCGTATAATGATTTTTAAAGAAGTTCTGCACATGAATTGTTGCAACACTTTGGAATACAATGTCTAAAATATGAAAACATGAACTCAATTTAATTCAATTATCAATAACAACATGAGAGTAGACATAATAAAAATGGAAAGAACTGATAGTAAAGTATGATTAGCGACGTATGAATGAGGCAAAATAGTGTCATATATGAAAATGAATTGAAAACGTATAATAATTAAGGAATAACAATGCTGTATTTGAAGAGTTGCCACCGTCAATTGGAATTTTTATGGTCGCAAATGCATTTTAAAGGCAAAGCGGAGCGGAGTCAGTAAAACAGATACTTGCGATTGTCAAATCTAAAATTAGCGGTGGCAACTCAAATACAGTACTGTTTTTCATGTTATAATGTAACACGCTTAACATTTTCAAGTTAAACATTTCAACAATCCTGTTATCGTCGACTGCGATTGTCTAGCGTTGTTGCCAATGACTGCAACCGTCAACAGTGGAATTGATGACAGACGTCATCAAATCATAATTCTCGTTACATGGCAAATTGCATTAGAATATTCATTAGGTAATCAAGCATGATAATCCTCACAAACATAGATTTAGAAAACAGTAGTTTACCAATGTTCAAATCTTATTAATCCATTAGGAAGATACAATTCAAGGTAACAAATAAAAAATCTAATGGAATCGAATTATACTCAAAAAGAGCAAGATCGGTGCGTAGACAGGGTAAGCGTCTCCTGCTATGCTCCCATCACCCATCATGCAAATACATGTCCTGTCAAAATGTCAAAAAAGGGAAGATTACCCTAAATACATCATCCAGTTTTGCAATAAGTTGTGCTATATTGATACAAAGTGTTCATGACTTGTAAAACAATATTTTCATTTTCAGGCAATGTTTGGATTTATCAAACCTACGGAAACTTCACAACATCAAATCCTGCTGCTTTGGATTACTGCCACCACACGCTATTCTATTTTTCTTTCTGGTTACTAAACGTTACATATATCATATCAGGTGTTATGTGTTTGTGTGGTTGTGTTTATTGTGCCTACATCTGTTGTATGATAAAAGGAGCTGACTGACATTACTGCTTATTTTTTTGTACCTAAATTTATTTTTTTCTCAATTATGACGTTAATATTCTTTTTAGTTTTCGAAATATTCCATTCTGGCGACATGAAAAAAAAAGACAAATCATTCACGATGACATCACGCAAATAGAAGGCACCTTGTTCTTAAGCCATAAAATATTCATTACAGGGACAAATTATTTACCAAAACAGTACGTGAATAACGACATTTCTCTGCTCTCGGTAGGTTTTTAAAGTTTCATAGATTAAAACTAATTATTTAGGAGAAATTCCATATCTATGGTAGTAAACGTATCTCTAATTATCTTTAAAAAATGGTGTATGCAGAATTTTCGGCATAATACTTATTTACACGTTTATTTGAAAATTTGCAAATCTATGATTAAAATAATACTCAGGATGAGTTAACATAAAATTTAGAATGGAAATGGGGAATATGTCAAAGAGACAACAACCCAACCAAAGAGCATGTTTATGCAATATCATTTTATCAGCTTTTTTTAAATAAGATTCGTTCAAGTTTCGAGACCAGTTGAAACCTCTTCCAAAGAAGTCAGAATGTCGGAAATAATTATTCGTTTAATTAATGCAACTAACTTGCTGCGCTTCAATGCATTTTATTTTTTATTGTTTATAGTTTATGTTTTGTAATATCAATTCAATAATAAAACTATTATTCTTTCGTTAATATTCATAAACAGTTATAAAGTATAGAAAACATACCAAACTCGTCATGACTTTTCAAATATTAATCGTCAAAAATAAAAATACACCTCATACATATTCTTTTTTCTTTATTCTATTTTATATCTAACACAGCTCATCGAGTTCGTCTGAGACCAGTAGATTTGTGTTTTAGTCTCAGGTTTCATAAAAATCGGAAAAAACGAAAGAAAAAGGAAAATAAATTACCACTTCGTTGTATCTTTGTTGAGTTTTTTACCTTCATGTTCGCTCAAACTAATGGATGAAATATAATATATTAAAATGAGTATATGTGTGCAGTGATTCCAAATCTTATATGAACATGCACAAGAAATATTATGTACTAGGATTGTAAAATCTACCTGATAAACTCCTTTCTTTTAATGATTATGATATCACCGTGCATCATATATGGGATGGGTACTTGAGTATTGGAAAAATATTACTCGATAAATGCTTTCTAATAATTTTAATATTGCAATTATTGTCTTAGTTTCTAGTTTGAAAGACTTCAAGATTCAAGAGTCGAAATTAAATATTAAAAAAGTAAAAGATTCAATATTTTATATTTCGAAAAAGTCTCACCAATTGTATAAAATTAAAAAAAAATCAAATACAAATATCAAACATACTTTTTAAAACAAGATAGATATATTTTAAAAGATTTAATTATATCATCAGTTTTAATATATAGTAAGAAATGTTTTCCTCTACATAAAATATTAATATTCTTTTAAGGTGATGTAGTATGATTGCCATTGCGATGCAAAGCTCTGATTCCTTGTCCTGTTTTGGCTATACTTTTTGTCCTCTTATGTCGATAAGGACTTCATTTTTAATGAGTTTTGGATTTTCAAATACTTTGACCTCGAGAATCGCTGAAGAGACATTTATTGTCGAAATGCTTCTGGTAAAGAAAAATTGGTACCGTTAATGTTATTACTACCACTGGGTCGATACCTCTGCTTGTGGACTGTCAATCCCCGAGGGTATCACCAGCCCCAAAGCCAGTACTGACATGAAAATACGGATATTGTGTTATTAATATTTGCTGTTACAAAAGTTCGGAAATTACTTTAAATTAAGGAATATATCTTTCTCATGGAAAGTTCTGATTCCTTGTCCGGCTTTGGCGATATTTTTTGTTCTTTTAGGCTTATAAAATATTCATTTTTTTTTAATAAGTTTTGGATTTTCAAATATTTTGTCCTCGAACATCATTGAAAAGACAAATGTCGAAATGCGCATCTGGTGCATAAAAATTGGCACCTTTAATTTTATTATTATTCACTAGATTTCAAATGAATTGGATATAAGCAACTAAAGATCACCGTACCACCTTCAACAATGGAAAAACCATACGTTATAGGCATCTATAAAAGACCCCATTATGAAAATGTGAAACAAATCAAACAAGAAAACTAACGGCCTAATTTGTTACAATAAAATTTACAATATGCTTTATTATAAAAATATTCATGAATAAGTTCTTTCATCGAAGTAAAGGAACTTGTTAACAGCACAGAAAGATTAGTCGTAAAACACTTACCGGAAACCGAGATGAAACGAAATTTGAAGGTTTTTTTGGGGGGTGTAGTTAAGGTAGCCAATACATAAAAGGAACCTTCAAATATTCAGAGGAGGTCTTAAGCTGGGATATGGTGGTGACATGATCATTTACTATGTGGCTCTCTGTGGAGCGCACGGTTGATTGAATGGAGAAGAATGTGTATTTTAATTCTTGATAACTTCCGTGTGGTATTTACATCATATCACTACCAGATTGTTGGCTGCTTTGTCAGCCGGTACGAGCACAAAATGTTTTGTGAGTACTTGATTTTTGTTTGTAATCCGTATCACTTACCCTTTTATTAATTATTTGAATTATTTTCGAAATGTGATATGAGTACGAAGCTTGTTACCATTACTCTTCAATGCCTGTTGAAGGCCGTACTTTGACCCATAATGATTATTTTACAAATTGTGACTTGGATGGAGAGTTGTCTCATTGGCACTCATACAACGTCTTCTTATATCTACTTATAAAATAAAATATATTCCAATTGTAAAACAATAATATAATATAATAGCACACTATTAAGACTTGTTGCATGATATATAATATTATAAAGAAATGTTAAAATATCAAAAAGGCATGTTATTAAAACTTTTTATACAAGGCTTATTATGATATAACAAAGAAACAACGTTGTCAAAGAACGTTTTTCCAATATGATTAAATAATTTTTTGTTCCAAGACCCCCTTCCAAGGTAGAACCATAATGGACGTCTAATAAACTGCTACGCGTATCTTATATTAAAACAAAAATATCTAATGTGCTACTTGGATAAGTAATTCGTCTACAGTGTTCACTGGGTAGTTAACTCGAAGTTCGGGAGTTCTTTCCGGACACTCCGGCTTCTTCCACCAATATTACTGGTCGCCATGATAATAAATAAACAATATAATGAATGAAGAAATAACTAAAGCTTTTTTTAGAGTCGGAATGATGTTTACACGAAACAACTGAGACATAGCAATACAAACAAGAATGCAATAAGCTAAATAAAAGAACAAATGAAGCCCTGTAATCTAACATGGTAATAGAAGTATTAATAAGCATGGCAAGCTAGGTATTAAAATAAAAATAAAATAAAAACATCAGTTAGCATCATAACAAATTTAAAGCTGGTGAAAATAAAATTGAGAATGCTGGTGAAAAGCATAGATTTTAAAAGAATGAATTTGAATTGGCAAATGTAACAACAATATATTAAACCATGATAGTGATTAGTATCTAAAGCTATAGCCAAGGGTGTAGAAAGGGGTATTAAAATAGACAAAATAACAAGGCGTCAAGAATATCTCTTTCCACCAAAAAGTAAAATAACAAAAATACCGAACTCCAAGAAAATTCAAAACGGAAAGTCCCAGCTTTAATATCAAATGGCAAAATCAAAAGCTCAAGCGCATCAAATGGAAATCAACTGTCATTATTCCTGACTTGGTACAGGCATTTCCTTATGTAGAAAAAAGTGGATTAAACCTGGTTTTATAGCTAGTTAAATCTCTCAATTGTATGACAGTCGCATGGATTTAAAAAATCGGAAAAAATGCGATTCCTATCCGATATGATTTGACTGGTTTTTTTTTTAAAGAAAAGATAACTCAGGCGATTTCAAGAAATGAAAATATGCAGACAAGAAAATTATTTCGTTTAACAGCACTTAATAATTTATTGAAATGTTGCAGGTAGCCTTTATTTGTAATTATAGTGCAGTAATCTCTGTTGGAAATCTTCTCAAAACAAATGACAACCATGTGAAACCCAAATAAAAGTAGTAATCAAATACCACGTTCAGCTACGCAAAAAATATGTCAGCCGGTTAGCTGTCAAATTAGCTGCGGAACCGTAGCTCTTATGTCGTTATGATATATTTTGACAATTTGCGGACCATAGTTTGAATAGTCAAAACAAAATAATTTGACCTTTTAGTGTAGAAAATGTAGATTTACTTACGGTTCATGTGGACCCTTTGGCTAAAATGGCTGTGTTTTCACCTCAAAATTTACTCTGAGTACAGACAAACCTCTGTATCTGGAAAAGTTTTAAGGCATAGCATGTTTTAAATTTTCTAAAACATTAAATGCATCTGAATTTTATATAACCAGAGCATGCTATGCCTTAAAACTTTTCCAGATGCACAGGTTTGTCTGTAATCAGAGACATATAATACAAGAGATTCGCAACTCGGCGAAATCCCGTAAAAACATGCGACCACTAGTTAAACCTAAACCTTGCAAGATCTCCTTAGGTAATAAAGTCAAATGAAAGTCATTAATAAAAGTATTAAAAGAACTTGAAGTAAGGACGAATGTTTAAGCATAACATAAACTGTTAAATTTATCATAATTAATTAAATAATTTGAGTTCATATATAATTATTTATTTTAATGTAATTTTGATTTTAGATTTGTATTATTGAAAAAGAGAAATAATTTGATATTGTTTTATAAAAAAACTGATATTTAATAATTAACACTTGCATGACTTGATAACTTGTATCAGAGTTCATTTTATTTGATCGTTTCATAATGGGTTTCTATTGAATATACACCTGTCTCGGAAACATAATTTCACAGTGTGACATGTATATTAGGTTTGAATTATTCGATGACCAGGTAAATCACGAACATGTTATAAATAATGAGTTTTAATTGACACCTTGTAAACAAGAAGTTGTTACACCACAGGTTTCCACACTCTTTCCAAAAATACAATTCACAAAATGTAAAATTAATTAATGTGGAAAAAAACTTAATCTATTTGTTAATTAATTGTTAATCATGATAGGCTTTGTTTTTTATTCTTGATATTTATAAATTATCAAAATTTTATTTTTATATTCATCATTAATTGGGCTTGCATTGAGTTTTTTCTGTAGGATTGTTGGTAAATGTTTGATTTCTAAGTGTTGTTTGACAGTTTCATCATAGGCTTGCATTGAGTTGTTTTTTTAAATGATTGTCGGGAAATTTATGGTTTCTTCATGTTCGAAGTGTGTATTCAGAATTAATATTTAAGAAAATTACAATTAATTTCTCATTTGAATAAAGCTTCATTCATGTGCACGCAATATGGAAAATTCCGATTTTATTTTGTGGGATGACAATCTTAATAGTTACGACTTAGATATACTCCTAGTTGAATAAACTGATAACGAACTCTTTGTTGATAGTGAAAGTGACGAAGACATAAGCGAGAGACCCACAAACAAAAACAATTGACAATACTGCATACATAGATGGATATGTGTGTCCTCGAAGCAACAAAAAATCTATAAAAAAACACAACATTGATATGGGAGCCGAGGTCATACATCAAAGCAACATGGAAGACACTATTTAAAAAGTATTTTATAACCTTATTTCCACAAGACAATCATTTGTAGTGGTTTTTGTCTATTAATCATTTGTAGTGGTTTTTGTCTTTTTTATTCTGGAGTAAAGAGATGGCAGTTTAAAAGTAAGATTGTTTATGTGTATACATATTACAAATCCTTGTTGTAAATAAAATCTTTTATTATCAAATATATATATATATATAAACAAGTCTAAATTGAAATCAATGTTCAAACCTATGATTGCGTTGGATAAAAACCGCATTTTTTATATATATATATATATATATATCTTTTGCAGTCACCATTGAAATGTCCTCAATACGATTTTAATTTAAAAATGAATTAGGTTCATGTTTTGAATGAGAAGCGTAGTCTGAAACGACAACAGATGCATGAAGCTCATTCATAATATTACGACCAGCAGAAGGTTTCCTTTACTAGGAAAATTTTACTCATTTTGTAAATTTACTGCATTCGTTCATCTTTGGCACCCTAAAAGGAAGAAAAAAACAATGACTTCAGAATAGGAGAAAATAAACAACTTTGCCATAAACAGAATGAAAAATGAATAAATTGCCTAGCAAAATGCAGGCTATAAATTTCATAGTGAACAAAAATGAAGAACTGATTTAAGGAAATTTGTCCATGAACAATTTCAATATTTAGCCAGTTTAATAAAAAAAAAAAAGAAAAGAAAAGAAAAAAAAATAGGGAGTAATATATATCCCCATAATATGACATATTTATTTGTAAATTTCTAGTTTTGACGAAACAGATTGATAAAATTAGCATAGCTGGCTTTGTGTATAAATAACAAAATAATAGTCACCTTTGTTGATATTTTTAGAAATAACTGTTGGATCAAATTTTACGAAACTGGTCTTATTTTCACGACATAACATCTGAGAGTAATATAGTCCCATACAATTGAATATTTATTAGCACATTTCCAAGTTTTACGAGATAAAATGATAGTACCAGCACATCTGGCTTCGAGTATCAATAAGAAAAAATCGCCACATTTGTTGATAATTTTGAAAAAAAACCCCACTATTTTTTAATCAGTTAATGAATCATTAATTTCATGGTCATTGTGAAATCAACAGATTTTACACAAATGTAAGGTATGCATATGTTTCTTTCAAAAGTTTGATCTACACAAGTGTTGTGGCCACATACTTTATTCCATAAATAAGTAAAAGAGTCATTATAAGTCTTTTATATTTCAGATCCTATGCACAAGCCTCTTCTGGCAACAAACAAAAATGGAGTTATGCCCATGGCCCAAGTGATACACCATTACTAGGATCTACCATAGGCCAAGCTTTGCAGGACTGGACTGAACTGAGACCAGACAAAGAAGCTGCAGTATTTTGTAAAGGCAATATTAGAAAAACTTTCCAACAAATCTTAGAAGAGGTATTTTAAAACATTTATTTTGAAACAATTCCCATTTAAAGTTTGTTTCATAGAAAATAGTGACCAAAACAGTAAAAGAATAGGAGATACATAATAGGATTAGATATCAGCTTATACAGTTTCATCTTTCATTGAAATACTTGAAAATTGTATCTTTTCATAACCCTCTTATGATAGTATTCAATGTCCACCAGGAAATATAGCATACATAATTATGTTAGACAATAGTATGTTTATGTCCTTTATAATTTAGCCAGCTTTGTATTAGACCAAAATGATGAGATAAAGTTTTAACATGCTAATTTGGAATGCAAAAGTCCATGTAAAGTAATGTCTTCTAAATAGCCGCTTGAAATATTAGTTTTACTGTCTTTAGGTGATCTAGTCAGCGCTTGAACCCACAATCTCTCTCCCTCAATATGGCCACATGACTATCAAGGTAAATCTTACTCAAATTAACTCATTTAGAAGAAGGATATTGATGCACAATTAGTTATAACTCTCTCTCATAATCTGAAATATGTTCCAAGTTTAATTTTGGGAAAATTGAAATCGTCTATCAGTCCTTTTTTTCCTTTACAAATGAAATACACTGATGTTATATATTCTATATTAGAAGATTAAGCCCTTTTAGCTTACGTTCAGTATTTTGGAGCATTCTTTCATATGGCATTATCATGATTATGTTACATTGTAAGTGGCCAACCAAGGACAGGTAAACTGACGGTCGAATAAGTCATAGTAAGAGAAGTGAAGTGATCAGTTTTATTTTTGTTTTATTTTCAGTCAGACCAGTTGGCAGCAGGACTATTAGAACTTGGTATTAAACGAGGAGACAGAGTAGGAATATGGGGACCAAACTCTATAGAATGGATACTGACACAGTATGCCACAGCAAGAGCTGGAATCATACTGGTATTTTAAGATATATTCAGAATTATTTGGGCATTTGAATTATAAATGACAATAGATATTATCATGCATTAAGTTATTGATCTTGATAAACAATTAAAAGATGATTGAGATAATTTATTAAGATCATCATCACATTAAATAGGATAGAGAATGGAAAACGGGAATGTGTCAAAGAGACAACAACCCGACCAAAAAGCAGAAAACAGCCCAAGGCAACCAATGGATCTTCAATGCAGCAAGAAAATCCCACACCCAGAGGCGGGCTTCAGTTTGACCCTATAACAACAGTGCTTACTAGTTCAGCGAAAAGAACGTCACACTTAACTCCGAAACATACAAATGAACCAAATTAAAAAAAAAACTTTGTATTACTAATGAAAGTTTTTTTTTTTTAGGTCAATATAAATCCAATGTACATAGCCAATGAAATGCAATATGTGTTAGAACAGGTAAGAAATGTCTGAAAATTGAATCAGCATTTTGCATTTGCGCCGATCTGCATTTCATTTTTGGTCCGGATTTTTTCTCTCATTTGCGCCGATTTTTTTTTTTTTCATTTGCGCCAATTTTTTTACAGGTAAATTACAGGTGAATGTTATTTTTCATTTATCATTATAGACCTCTTCAATTCGCCAGTTTTACAAATGTTATGAATTGTCAATCATAACATGTATATAACTGTTGTCCCCTGCTCACCACGGGGAGGTGGAAGTAGGATTTTGAGCAGGATAAGTCAATTTGAAAAGCACAATGTTCACATACTTTAAAATCAAGAAGTAAAAACCTAAGATAAAAGCACTCTGTTTTTCTCTGTTTATATTAAAATGACAATTCAAAATCTATTTACAACATTAAAGTCCGTAAAAACGGAATACATTAAAATCATAAATCTGTTCTTGCCGAGTATTTATAGGCAACACATCTAATATAATCCTTTCTTGTGATTTCATCTCTATATTTGTCATAATTGTCAATAATGAAGTCCATCTTTTCTTTCTCTGGCTAACGTACTGATGTGGGCATTTCTAGAATTCGCAATTTAACATACATAACAGCCTGGATTTTCTTAACTTAAACATAAGTGAACAACATTTATAACCAGATTTTACCAATATACATTCAAGGTATAGTACATTTACAAATATTTACTCACCTGTGTTAAACTGTAAATGCAATTAGGAGCAAATATAAAAGCGGCGCAAATGAGAAAATGAAATCAGCGCAAATGAAACAATGAAAATTTTAAAAATCAGCACAATTGTCATACGCCCAATTGAATGAACATTATTTGATTATTCTTGTTAAGATTTTAGAAAAAAATACTGTAAATTCAGAAATTAATGCATGCATTTATTATTGTGGATTACTGGTAAAAATCTTTTTAATGCAATTACAAAAATTTGTGAAGAAAATTACTTCCGAAATTATGAGCTAGTCTTTGTTGTTGCTATAAACCTGATACTGTTGCATTTCTACATTAATAAAAACATTGCAAACATTTCTGAATACAGTAACTAATTTTACTTAAATGTTTTTTTTCTCTCACAAATTAGGTAATTGGAAATATGATATTTTATTCTATAGCATTGTTCAATTTAAGACAAATATATTGTTAAAAAAAATTGCTCTATGTAATGACAGAAATGCAAAAATTTTACCCTAACAATATATTTGTAAATTATATGTGACAAAAATAGTTAAATAAAAAGTTTTATTGGTTCCTATAATTCTGACAGTAATTTTTGGGGGGATTTTTTAGGCAAAATTTCTCACAACCATATTTGTTATGGATCATATTAAAGCACTTGTCAGTAAAATAAACAATATTTATAGTCAAAAGTCACCATGGTCAAATATTTAAAAAAAGACACTTTATAGTCAAAAGTCACCATGGTCAAATATTTAAAAAGAGACACAACAATCCACAAAACATCTCCCCACTTAACCAATGATGATTGTGTTTTAAAAATTGAATTGGTCATATAATTTAAACCAATGTTTATGTCTTATGGTATGGCATCACATACTGTAGTGAACATATATTCCAATTTCCAACTATATTGATCTTATCATTTTACAAGTTTGCATGAAATTTATGAGAAATAAAAAAGAACTACCGGGTATTTTCTATTAAATGTAAGTGATAAGGATATTGTGATCTTAAATTGCATGCCATAAAATTGTGAATTTCATAACAAAAAATAGTCTTTCTTTATAGCAAAGTTGTATTAATAAATGCATAGGAATTTTAGATTTATAGATTTGAAAATTGATATAAGATAAACATCTTTTTTTTGTAAAGACTGGTTGTAAAGCAATAATTGCTGCAGAAGAGTTCAAAGGTCATGACTATTATGACATCCTATTCCATTTAATACCAGAATTAGCCAGGTGTGAAGATGGCTTTATCAAGAGTCACAGGTATATTTCTGTTAAGATTTCGATTTAGTTAGAGAGAATATTTATTGAACTCTAATAGATGTTGAACATTGAATTACAATATTTATAGGTTTTAATCATAAACAGTACGACCAAAACAGTCATATTTTACTTTTGTATTATTTTAGCAGCATTTCTTATTTGATAGCATTTTAATTATTTACATCTTTTATTTTCTTTGAATTATTTCTTTTCTTCCATTTGAAATATCTACAGATTTTATTCATCATTCCCATTTTTATGCCCCATCTACGATGTAAACTTAGTACACATGTTCCCTATGATATGATCTTTCTAAATTTAATGCCAAATTAGAGTTTTGACCCCAATTTCACAGTTCACTGAACATAGAAAATGATAGTGCAAGTGGGGCATCTGTGTACTATGGACACATTCTTGTTTCCTAATTGATTTAATATAACTTTACTATATTCAAGTAGTTTCTACAAAGGTCTAATGCAAGGTCTTATTCACACTTACCATTTCAATATATTCTAATGGTGATATACATTCAGTTTTATCTAGAAATATCCAATAATCTTTTCCTTACTTTGCTATTATAAAATTAAAGCTTCTCATGGAGATGAGAAATACAAAATTTGACACGACTTCCATTTTTTTCCCAATTTCTACGACATACCTGATGTCATGTATAACAATGGTGAAAGGTGCAATCTAAACTCTATTGTTACTGGCTTGACAGTTATATGTAGTTCCATTTCCCAGATTCAGCTCTACCTTACCTTCCATATAGCACAGTGAGCTGAACATTCATTAGATTCCATACATTCTCATGTCAATCAGTTTATTAATAATATATACTCAGATATTCAAGTTACAAAATGATGTATATGTGTAAAACCATACCTGACCAAGAAAAGGTTTATAAAAATAATATTAGTAACAAAGCAATATAACTCTCTCTCTGTTCTACCTGTAATTATGAACAAAGGAAGATAACTCCTATCCAAAATTGTTATGAGAATGTATGAAAAAAAAACATCATAAAATACTGCATACCACTTTATTGGTTAAACAAATGTTGCTAGGAATGCAAGAAATAAATTATGAATTTCTGCATGATAAATTTATTACCTTTATATAATATTTCTAGGTCACACTTGTAAGTTATAATGCACATTATATTATAAAATCTTTGAGAGATCCTTTTTAGGCATGATATCATAAAAATTAGTTAACATAACAGAAAAAAAAAGATTGAAGACAGCTAAGTTCTGTTATAGCCTTTCCCTCAAACATATCTCTCACTTTTATTTATTAAAATATATCAAACAATTTAAAATTGATCTTAAGCTTGCACATCTTAAGAGTTAATATTTATATTCATTTTGAACAGACAAATGAAATCATTAACAATAAATACAGTTGGATTAATATATAGGTTTTCAAAAAGTAAAGAAAAAAGTGGAAATTAAAACTTTATGTATTATTTGGTGTAAAGTAAAGATCTGAGAAACAAAGTGCCCAGTTTGAATGGCATAAAATAGAAACTTTCAAAGCTCACTACCTTTGAAGGGTTTTCCATTTCAGAGGAATATTATACATACATACTAAATTTTATCATCGGTATGAGGACATCATTCGTAAATATAGCTCAAGATGCAGACTTCTTATACGTTCAGGTATTTCACATCCAATTTTTTATGGAAATATTCTTTATAAAGCACAAAAATGTCAGTATTCACCTCTGAAGCTAACAAAACCTTTAAATAGACTTATTAAGAAGGGATAAAGTTACGATACTGTTGTCAGGTCATTAAAGATTGCATATTTTGGTGTTAATATTGATTCACTTATAGGGTCTTTGCATCGGCACTAAACACATTTATTTAAAAACCAGTTGTTGGCATGACACGGGTTATGTTCTTCTCATATATGTTATGATGGTATGATACTAAACCCCTAACGGGAAGGATTGTGCCTGATATTCATATGATGAAGACATAATCTTTCAATCAGTTTAATTGAAGTCTGGAGCTGGCATGTCAGTTAACTGCTAGTAGTCTGTTGTTATTTATGTATTATTGTCATTTTGTTTATTTTCTTTGGTTACATCTTCTGACATCAGACTCGGACTTCTCTTGAACTGAATTTTAATGTGCGTATTGTTATGCGTTTACTTTTCTACATTGGCTAGAGGTATAGGGGGAGGGTTGAGATCTCATAAACATGTTTAACCCCGCGCCATTTTTGCGCCTGTCCCAAGTCAGGAGCCTCTAGCCTTTGTTAGTCTTGTATTATTTTTAATTTTAGTTTCTTGTGTACAATTTGGAGTTTAGTATGGCGTTCATTATCACCGAACTAGTATATATATTTGTTTAGGGGCCAGCTGAAGGACGCCTCCGGGTGCGGGAATTTCTCGCTGCATTGAAGACCTGTTGGTGACCTTCTGCTGTTGTCTGTTCTATGGTCGGGTTGTTGTCTCTTTGACACATTCCCCATTTCCATTCTCAATTTTATCATAGACAAAATAAGACTGGGATAGTGTGATCACTCTATGAACTTATAGCGGGAATAGATTAAACCATGTACAACTTTAGAATTATAAGTTGCAGTTTGGCAACTTTTGGTTTACATATGCACATACACATTTGTAAAAAAATGACTACAAGCTAAATTTAGGTAGCTGTATCTGACAGTATCAGACAAAATAATTAGAATGTACTGTCTTTTTAAGGTACATGTATAATACTTTTAGTACTTATTTTACAATTTTAAGATGTTGTAATGCCTTTAAAGAATAAGGAAAGAACTTATACTCTGAATTATTTAGATCAATAAGACCCTCTGTATGGATTTGTTTGTAATTATCAGTTATAAACATGCATGAATGTTTTCCTAAAGTAACTGGATTTCTTGTTTTTGACATATTTTGTACCTATATATTCCTTTACAAAATATTGAATTTTTCTGATTTCCAGGATTTTTGGCACTTTCTGTACTTTCACCCATGTATAACCATAAATATTATCATTTCAAATGTAATTTCTGTAGGAGTTATCATTCATGAATTAGTAAACAAACAAATAAATACCAGCCCAAGTGTATCCTGGTCACAGGGCCATTTGTGACAATAATAACATGAAGCTATGGTTTGAGATGGTTCTCACCAATCACCTCTAAAAGAACATATGTCTTTTAATATAGCATTAAGAAATGATGTGTAAAAAAGTTCAGGCTTATTATTGTTATAGATGTTGATAGATGTAAGTTTGTGTTTTAGGTTACCAGAGTTAGAGACTGTTATAATGATAGGAGAGAAGAAACACCAGTAAGTTATAATCTCTTTTTTTACCTAATCTTAAATGGTATGTACTATTAAAAAATATACCACACAAATTTTATATACTTGTTGAGTTGTCTGGAACAAATAAGGTCTGGAAAAATACTTATATATGCCCATTGTAACACATGTAATTGATTTTTAGTTAAAACAGCCACATAATTCATGAAAATAGATCAAAGATCAAAGTCAAGTTAAACAGATTTCAAGTTATGTGGTACTTCATGCATATATAATATAATTTTATTTATAGTGCAACCTGATATAACATTTTTACATACATGTATACAAAGTCAATCAGCCAGCCTTCAAAGGCTTACGAAGCACTGTCAATTAATATCTATAACTAGTGCTAATTCATTTTCACAGTCTTAATCAAAACCATGAAATCAAATATCCATGAAAAAACAACTTTTCCTCCATCTACCAAAATTGGTACCCACAAAACTAAATGAATCATCAGTAGGTGCCAAACAATAAAAGAGTAAGCCATCTTAATATTTAATTATGTTTTGTTTTTACTTACTTGATAGTGGCACAATGTAGTGAACCAACTATTACTGAATGTTATTACATGTAGTGGAATTGTTATTTTGAATGTTTATGTTCAGATTTATACATATTTTAAACTTTTTTTTTCTTTTTTCAGGGGTACCTTGAAATTCTCATCTGTGTTGGAAGCTGGTACCAGTAAACGTAAAGCAGAAATCATGGACCTTCAAAAAAGATTACAGTTTGATGACCCAATCAATATACAGTTTACCTCTGTAAGTGATCTTCTGTTTGTTGGAAAAAAATAAACCTGCATGTAGCCCAACTAAAGGACTATTCTTGTGTACATTAAAAATTGTTTTGGTTGAAGCAATTGTTTCCCTATATATGTTTTTGTAGCTGTTGCTTTAGTTTGTTGAGTAGTATCTTTCCAACATTAATGTTGTTTCTAACTGTAACTGTCTCTTGTCTGTTTTGTCCTGAAATAATAATAATTTTTACATTTGGTCATGTTACCATATCCTTTAAAGAGGGACAAAAGGACCTTTTTTGGGATGTCGGTATTGAACCTTTATTATTGTGGGAATTCAGGATTGGGCCTTTCTTTTTGCAGGAATTCAGGATTCTGCCTTTATTTTTGCGGGAATACAGGATTTACACCTGTCGACTCAGGAATTGAAAATTGATTTTTCGGGATCCGGGAAAGAATGCTTTATTTGTTTGGGAATTTCGGCATGACACCCCTCCTACCCCCCTCTTTAATTTTGGAAATGTCTTAGGGTTAAACTTGAATTGATACAAATCCCCATTGCATGATGTGCTATCACTGATTATGGTTTATAAACAGATTTTAACATGAGTAACACAAATGAGATATGGGGGGGGGGGGGGGGGGGGGGGGGGGGGGGGGGGGCTGGGGGCTGGGGGCCAGGGCCTCCCCCTTTTTTGAGGGAAAAATTTGGTTGATTATATAGGGAATCACTGAAGCATGACTGGAGCAGGCCCCCCTTAAATCAGTCAGTGGGCTCCCCCTTACAAAAAGTTCTGGATCCGCCACTAGTTGTTTGTCTGTTCTTCATTTTTAGGCCATTGTGTTGTTTGCCATCCTTAGACTTTTGGAAATTTTACTGGCTCTAAGGGTTTTCCTTTTTTATTTTATTGATCATTATACCTTTTTATGCCCCACCTAGGGGCATTATGTTTTTCAGTCTGTGCGTCTGTTCGTCCGTCTGTCCCGCTTCAGGTTAAAGTTTTTGGTCAAGGACGTTTTTGATGAAGTTGAAGTCCAATCAACTTGAAACTTAGTACACATGTTCCCTATGATATGATCTTTCTAATTTTAATGCCAAATTAGAGTTTTGACCCCAATTTCACAGTCCACTGAACATAGAAAATGATAGTGCGGGTGGGGAATCCGTGTACTATGGACACATTCTTGTTTATTTTGAAATTCAGTTCAAAGTGTAGATCGTCTCATATATACAAATGTAGGTATTCTTCAACATCTTTGTTAATATTTTAAAAACAAAAACAAAACAACAAAATTAATATCTGTAACAGTATCAGTATGTGCAACTTAGATTCTAGTCAGTACATATTGATATAGCAACACAAGTAGCAGTTCTGTTAAAATATAAATCTTTTCATTACCTTTCATTTTAAAGGTTTTGAACAAGAAATATTTGAATTGATTGTAATGTCAAGGTAGTAATATTAATGGAGATCTGAAACTTAGAAATATTATAATAATTTCTTAGTTGTTACATGTACCATAAACCTGTTTGCTTGCAACTTGGGTCTATTTAATGATACATTAATGTTTTAAATTTAATTTTTTCCTTAGGGAACCACAGGATCACCTAAAGGAGCCACTCTTTCCCATCATAATATTTTAAACAACAGTTATTTCATTGGTCGCAGATTAGGATATCATGAGAAGGTTGGTATCTATTAGAATCATCTATGAAGAGGATATCTATACACAATAAGAAAAAGCTTCTATATTCCCAGTGAAGAATTAGGGAGTAGGGTGTTTGTATTTTGTGACACATATTTGTGTTATTTCATTTTTAGTTGAGGATTGTATTTGAAGGATTATAAATCTACATTTACTAATAGTTTTTTTCTGGTTTTTAAAAGTTTAGGTTAACATTTTTTAAATAATTTAAATTGATTAAGGACACTTTTTATACTTTGAAAAAAGAATAAAATATCATCAGTATTTGAAACTAATGAAAATGAGAATTTGATGATTTGACACTAATACATAATTTTACATATAGTACATGACAATTTTTATAGGAAACTCGAATCTGCATTCCAGTACCTTTATACCATTGTTTTGGTATGGTAATAGGAAGTCTTACAATGGCATCACATGGTGCTACTTGTGTATTCCCATCACCTGCATTTGATGCTAAAGACACACTGGAAGCCATTAGTAAAGAAAGGTAGATAATATTTTTTACATATTAAAAGTTTAAAATTAATGCCTTTTTTAATGGTACCTGCCAGTCAGGTAGAATCTAATTTTATAGATTCCTTTTCAGTTTGCTAGACATAGGGAATAATATTGTGCGGCGATGGCGGTGTAAAGTATTTGTATAAAGCTTTATATATCAGAAGGTTGAAGACCTCGATGCTTCATACCTGTATGTAGTTACCTTATGTTACGAAGTTTCTCCGTCTGTCAATGTCCATTGTCATTGACCTCATTTTCATTGTTCAGTATACTGCCTGAAAAAAAAATTTTTTTGTCATGTGAATTTCTGACTTAATATGAGTAATAGGATAACTATATTTAGTATATATGTTCCTTGCAACCTCTACATGTCCGTCAGACAGGGTCAAACTGACCTCGACCTCATTTCATGGATCAGTGATCATGGTTAAAATTACGTGATAAGGTCTGTTTCTCAGATACTGTACGCAGAAGGTCAACTATATGTGGTGTATGGAATGATTGTCAGGGGTACATGTCAGTCTGGTGGGTTTCATCTGACCTTTACCTCATTTTCATAGTATGGTGAATGTTAAGTTTTTATGTTTTTTGGCTGTTTTCAAATACTTATAGCAATAGGTCATCTTTGTTTGGTGTATGGAATAATTGTCAGGTGTACATGTCTGTCTGGCAGGTATCATCTGACAATGACCTCATTTTATGGTTCATTGGTCAATGTTAAGGTCCGTTTTTCAATTTCCATAAGCAATAGGTCAATTATATTTGATGTATTGAATAATTGAAAGGTGTACATGTCTGTCTGAAGAATTTATCTGACCTTGACCTCATTGTCATGGATCTTTAAAAATGTCAGCTTTATCATGTTTATTCAATACTTGTAGTTAAACCTTTATCTTTAAAAAATGAAAACAACACGTTATACATTTAATGCATCTGAAGCGCTTTTCTGGATTTACCTTCATCAGGAACGCTCAAAGCTGAATATTTAAGACTTTCAACCCATAAAATCAAATGTCAGTAAAGCAGGCGAGACAATTCAGCATGTGCACTCTTGTTATATCAGATAAGCAATGAAAAGTTTTCTTTACTTTAAAATGTTTAATTCTTATTAAAAATACATTGAAGCAATATACTATACTTTTATATCATTTCACTAAGCAATATTTAATTTACATAAATTAAATGCTATTAAAACATTTTATGATAAAAATAAGTTGCTTACTATAACTGCAATATATTAAAGCCATTTTGATCAAAAGAGTAAGTTTAGTCAGAGATACAAAATTTCATTTTATTCATTTTAGATGCACATCTGTGTATGGAGTACCAACAATGTTTATAGACATGCTGAACCATCCAGATTTACACAAGTATAAGTTATCATCATTGTATACTGGAATCATGGCAGGTGCTCCCTGTCCTATTGAGACCATGAGGGAGGTGATTGGAATCATGGAAATGCCAGGTGTTACTGTAAGTAAATGATTGCACTGTAGTTTACTGGTTTGTTTTTCAATTTCAATGCATAAACTTTTCATAAGGATGCACTTAATTGGTTACCTTTTAAGTTAAAATCTTGTATATGACCAAATATAACATTAATGTCAAATGTAAGAAAGAAAATAGGCAGTGGTAAAAAATGTTTAAATTGATATTGCATATTATATAGGTTTGCTATGGAACAACTGAGAATAGCCCTGTCACATTCCAGAACTTCAGAGATGATAACATAGAGAAAAAAATAGGAACCATAGGTAAACCACACCCACATGTGGAGGTAATCATTTTTGAACAATATTGATGATATAAGTATACAAGTGTGGAATCACAAGCAGGAGAACAGCGTTTTAGTGGTTCTTCATCTTGAATTTTGAATGAAATTGATTGTAACAGAACAAAAATTTAAACAATGAGTTAGATTTTTTGATGATAATTAAAGCAGCTGAAGATGGGCCTAAGCATTGAAACTCATAGCATATCTTGCTTAATCATTCTCATTTGTCAGAAATTTTTCATGACAATATCAAATTAAGTAAACATAAATGGATAGACTAACAGCATATAATGTTAGCTATTGACTTACAATATTTTATAAAAGTATGTCAATAAACATAATTTAGATCATGAATGCAACTGAGTTCCATCAAGATATTAGTATGAGAAAATGAAAAATGACACTTAATATAAAAATATGGAGATTTAGTATGATTGTCAATGAGACAGCTATCCACCAGAAACCAAAGAAGGTAGATGTATGCAACTATAGGCACTATACTGCCTTCAGCAATAAACAATATCAAAGGCCCAGCATTACAAAATGTGAAACCAAAGGCCTGATTCATGCTAAAAGCAATAAAAGAAAAAACAAACATTAAATTGATTGTTCTAATTGTTTTTGTAGTTTCATAATTATTTTTGATATATTTCTTTTTTAAGGCAAAAGTTACAGATGAGTATGGTAATGTTGTACCATGTGGGACTCCTGGAGAGTTATGTACACGTGGATACACAACAATGTTGGGATACTGGAATAATCCTGCTAGAACAGCTGATGTTATCAAGCCAGACAGATGGTACCGTACAGGGTATATGAAATACTTATATAAAGAACTCTAATGCATATATGTTAGCAAGACATTTTTATTTTAACTATTTCAATGGTCATTTCAGAATTTGGCATCATGCACTTATTTGATCCACTGTCTTTAAACAGTAAATATTTTATGCTTACCAAAAAAAAATTAAAGGTATACAAAGGAATAAATTCATTGTAAGGTCACTTTTCAAATCATCTACATGATCTATTCACATCGTCTTGATTGGAAGGTGCTTTCCAAATGATGACCTTACTACCATTTATACATCTTTCAATAATCATATGCATAGCATTTAAAGACAGAGTTGTTTAATACTGAACCAGATCCAATATTCACAAGATTGAATTTCTTTATGTTCATAGGTAAAATCAGATAAAGTATCACAATGCATTTAAAAAGAATACATGAGGAATGATTTTGATTGTTTAAAAAAATATAAAAAAATTAACTTTGTGGGGAACATAGTTTAGGTGCTGGGTAACAACTGGGAGTTACAAAAAAAGTCATCTGAACACTACAAGATCTATCGTATTAGAAATCAAATAAATGGAGAATGTGTCCATGGGACACAGAGGATGTCCTCGCTTGCATAGAATGTTATAAAGGGATTATCCTGATATAACTAGAGAACTGTGACAGTGAAGCCACTCAAATTGGAACTTGATCTGTGTTTTATGGTAATAAGCATTGTGTATAAGTTTCATAACATTTGGTTTGGAGAATAGAAAACAATTTTGGGACGTACATACGGATGGACAGACGTACGTACGGATGTACAGATGGACAAGGGTAAAATGCCCCTCCGCTGCGGCGGGGGCATAAAAAAGATATCTATAATGAATTGGTTTTATCACAAGTGTCTTATTCAACAAGCTGAGCAAATGCTGTTTGGTTTAATTATAAATATAAACCTGTTTAATGAAAATATATGATAAAATTGTGGCCACATTTCCCTTGTATAGTAACACTGTTTGGCAGTGATGTGATTTATTTATTTATAGCACAAATTTCCTAAAACACATTTCACAAAACACCAGAAAAAAGAAATGTGCATTTATGGCATTGTTTTCTGGATTCATTTGTTTTTGTGGGTTCATTACATATGTGTTTTATATTACAGAGATATTGCCACAATGGATGAGGATGGCTACTGTTCTGTAGTAGGGAGGATAACAGATATGATCATTAGAGGTGGTGAAAATGTGTATGCCTTTGAAATAGAACAGGTTATATATCATCACCCGTGTGTTAAAGATGTCCAGGTAAAGCCATTAAATAACTCTGTAAATTTGGATGTAAATTGATTGCATCCATCTTAATATATAATTTTACTTGTGAAGCTCATATTTATCTCAATGTAAATGAAAATTAATTGATTATTCTATCATCAGCTTGCCTCTATAGCTATCAACTGTTCAAATATCTAAATAAGTCATTGTGGTAACTTTGTATGCATTTAATTACTCCTGACCCAAGGATAGGTATTCTGGTTTACATATTTGTCAAACGTTCCCTCCCTTGCATGAAATTCTATCAAATTTTTCTCAGAAACTAAAAACTGAACTTTCTAAAATTTAGAAACTGCAGCTACATGCTGGGTGAGCAAAACAAAATTAATTAAAGCATGTGATTTAATAAACTGAAACCAGTCGGCCATTAAGATATAAACGTCAAAAAAGTTTACCTGTATGACTTTTGTTCCTTCTTTGTTACCAGTTGCTACATCATTTTTACTCTGATGAAAATAGAATAATGGCATTTTTGTTTTTGATACTGACTTTATCAGCAAGACATACATGTGATGGACTGTGAAACTGAGATCAGGAGATTGGGAAATTTTGGTCAGGAGATTAGGACTCGGGTCAGGAGGTTTTTTATCGACATAAATTTTGTCGTTAATGTAACCGTCTGATGTGAAAATTGTCTTTTTAAAGTGTTTTTTCTTCAACCTTCCATCCGAATGTAATGTGTTTATAGTACCCTTGTAGCCTTTCTATTTAAATGATATCACTTTGCTGAAAGAAATATTGAGAAGATTCTGTTTCTTGTTTTGTTTTTGATAATTGATTGTTGACTGCTTGTAAATAAAGCGCTATGACCTTTTCTTTGTGTATAGATTTGTATTCATGTCTCCATCTCCTTTTATTTGTATTTAATATCATTGGTATAGATAAATAAGAAAGAAATATGCTATACATTTATAACATGATAAATAAATGAAAAAAAATAACAAATAATAACAATAGCATGGTTTTTAAGCATTAAGAAAGTAATTTTTCTAGAAAACTTAAGACTCAAACAGTGTAAAATATTTTACTATTTTTAGCTAAATCACTGTCTATATACCATTGACAAATATTATTTAATAACTGAATCACTGGTCTTTGACACTGGGTCATGTAAGAAGTACAACTGTACAAGCTGACTTGGCTGCTTTCAATAAACTTGACTCTGCACTAAATATATAAAGTAATCCTGATCCTGGTAACAGTTTGTTGTTTTTTATACTGAGGATGCTGTGAATTGTCTTTGAGTCAATGTTTTCTGCTGTCAGTTTGTTGAGCATGATGAAAATCCTTTAATGTACGCATTGGAGTGCGAAATAGGTATTTTTTTTTGTTTTTTTAATGAGTTGAAAGTTAATTAAATGTTTTTTCGGCTTCAAAACCTTCCAATATTGGCAATAATGTTTTGACAACAACATTCCACTTTTCAAATGTCTTTTCTATCATCAGCTGATCATTGCCGGTATTTCCCTTTAATCATCCATTGCGTGTGCCATAGACAGAAGCCATATTGATTAATTAATATTCTATCACCTGAGCTGACACCTCTTTATTATGCAATCAAACTATTATCACTTGTTTCATGTAATTAGCCGCCAGGTAAAAATGTACACGTGTTGTGTATAAATCAGGTAATGTCAGTGACACCGAATATGTTAGGTACTCTGGGGTTTTTTTGTCTTCAATAACAAACATTTGTAAACATTGTAGTAAAAAAAATGGTGCCTGAAAATTTTCATTCATGAAATATTTTATACACAGGATTTTTTTCTTTTCAACGGGAGGATGGGAGGAGACCCCTGAAAACGGGATTATTGTACTCCCGTCGGGAGGTTCACATGTATGGCAAGAATATCAAGTGAGCCCACTAGGGCGAGCTGATATTCAAGCTGATGGATCCAGTGTCAAAAAATAAAATGCCATTATTCTTTAATCGGCAATTTGTCTTAACAAAATGTTTTTTTGATTGAGAATTTGAAATAAAATGAATAAGTTAGTAAAACTACTTTTATGCATACAAAACGTTGTGATAGTTGTTCAGTTGTATAAATGAAGTGTCGTGCATTTCATTGATGAATTAACGTGGATGTACAAGAACACACGATGTTGCAGCACTGGTACATGACCTCATTGCCTAATATTTTTGAGTATCAAGTCCTGTCCATATTCTTATCAAATATAAGGCAGTAAAAAAGAAAAGAAAAAATGTACAAATTGGGGATAAAAGCATGTAATAAGAACTGTGTCTGTTTTAGGTGGTTGGTGTTCCTGTTGAGAGGTTGGGAGAAGAAATATATGCTTTTATCGAGTTTAAAGAAGGATTTACATGTACTGAGGAAAACATTAAAGATTACTGCAAAACCAGGGTACATATTTTATATTTAGTATATTCTGTGTTTCTGTAAAAAAAATTGTGAAGATATTGAAGTTACAATATACTTATAGCAGCTAGAACCAAAAAACAATGTGCCTTTAGATGATCTATAAGTACATCTATAAATTGGTAAAGGTTATTAAATGCACAGTGCAAATAAATTAATTTAGTAGATTATCATTCCATCCAACCAGATAAATTGGGTGGCCTTTGGGGTTTATTTTTCATGCTTGTAAGAATCTTTTTACATGGCTATAACAGTTGCTTTCAGATGTTTTTTTTTTTCATTTTATTACATGAAAAACATTCATTAATAGTCAATGTTATTGATATGAAAACTGTTATAAAAACTTCAATTATTAAAAGAAATGTAGGATTATACAAAGTCCTGGAACCTTCCTGATTTTGAGCAATAAATAGACTTCAGAAGGTTAAATTCAAATCTTTGTTTTGAATGTTATTGTCCCAAATGATTATAATCTTTGAAATTACACTTACTATTAAGAAGTGAATAAAATTAGGCATATGTGACAGGAAGAACAAGTTTACAATTGTTAATATTAGGGCTATTCCATTAAAATGTATGTGGGAGGGTAGGAAGGGAAGTTTAATTATTGAATGTGGGTCATGGGTCTTTTTGTCAGTATGCATTTATTACCATTATGCAAAATTATCTAAAATATGGTTCTTGGTTGTAGGGATATTTTGAAAGTCCCTTCCTACCCTCCCACATACATTTTAATGGAATAGCCCTTATAAATTGTGTAAAAAGTAGAATACTATAGATGTGTTTATTACATGCATTTCAGATGGCTAGATTTAAAGTTCCAAGGTATGTGAAATTTGTTAAAGAATTTCCTCTAACAGCTACAGGAAAAGTCCAGAAGTTCAAACTGAAAGATGAAGCTATGAGAGATCTCAATTTGATTGACTAAGCAAAATATTTTTATTCACGGGTCATACATTGATTAGTGGTGATATTTGATTTCTACTTAGTATAGGTTCTAACTTATTATACCGAATATATTTCGTTCTATATTTTTATGTGCAAAAATGAAATCCCTAACATTTAATATTTTATAATGATGTCGAAGTATTTTTTTTTTTACAGTTTTGTTGTCAGTTTTCGATCTGACACCAAATAAAAATTAAAAAAAAAAAAAAACAGAAATTAGATTCAACAATGACTTTTCAGTTCATTTAGTGCTCTCGATAAACAATTGTCGAATATATTTTTGCAGTGTCAGAATAGAAGTTATTTTTTTTAATTTGAGCAATATGAAATAAGATGTTTCAATTTTAGATCATTTGTTAATGTTTTAAGATGTAGACTATAGACCTTATAGCTATTTCGGAATCTGCAACACTTGAACGATTTACATCATACAATAATCACTTCTGCATTGTCTCGTCAGACATTTTTCTCTTTAATATGTCGTCAAAATTTTATGAAAAAACCTGTGATCATCAGTAATGATAGGCAAATAGGGATAAGGTGTATTTTAAATTTATATTCGCATGATTGGAGCAGTGGTAGAAATGATTGAAATATTCATGTAAAACAGATAAAATATTTTCCTAGTTCATGAAAAGCATGTTTGTAAGAAAGTTCTGTTAAATCAATAACACTATTTTTATACTTATACCAGGGAACCATCATACACCATTGTTAAATATATAGTTGCAATTGTTGTGTGTTTTACAAAGAGGATTTGTGTTTTATTTATTTTATTTAATAAGGCAATGACATAAATTTTTATTACAGAAACTTAATTATTTTAGGACTGGAGCTTTTAAAATAAGAAAGTAATTTTTGTTAAACCAATACCAAAAATTGAAAGTAAAAACAAATGCATGACAAAAAGTTAATATTTCATTAAGCTTGAATTAACATGTGATACATATTACTTTTAATAATATTTTAATGGCTTTTTTGGTGCAAATATATAATGTTATATTTTTTCAGTTATGTTTTTTGTTTTGTTTTGTTGAACTATTTACTATGTTCCAAGGGAACTGAAACTAAGCTTGTGCCATATATAAAATGTAAGCTTTTTTATATATTCTTGAACAACTCAAAAGTTGTAACTTTTACTTGCATTTTAAAAATGTGTAATCATGCCATAATATAATATCAGATGTTCAATGGGTTGATAATCTTATTTATTTGTTTATTCTTATACTTTTTTTACTGTTATGCAAAGTTTTGGATTGAATAATATTTGAGATCATTTTTTTCCAGCAATAATCATAATTCAGGTATCATTTAATTTCTAAATTTTTGTAACATTTTTTTTTATATTAAACCCTTTTATTAATTGATACAGATTATGGATAGATCAGTTCTATTTCCTACAAATTTTGTTACATGGGGACAATTTGTATTGCCTTACTGAAGGGGATTTTGATTGAACTTATACATGAGTTTTCTTTCAAAATTTTTATAGGTGATGCAATAAATAAACTGTAGCAAGTGAAACAAGAATTGTATTCTATATGTGTATTTTTTTAAAAGTATGTTATACATTTCTTCTACACATGTAATGATTTCAAATATAAAATTATATTTATACAGCATTTACTAGAAATATATTATTTTCAATGGATCTCAATCTTATTCATATGCCAATTATTGACATTTTGCGGTCAGTAAAAAACATTGATTGGAAATGTTTTAAACCCCAATTTTTATTATTGATTGGTTGATTGTTGCCTGCTTACGGTCAAGTTTTCGAAGTGGCCAGTATATTGTGATAGGTGATAGCTATTTTTAGCTCACCTGACCCTTACAGTCAACCAATTATTGACAATTTGCGGTCAGTAAAAAACATTAATTGGAAATGTTTTAAACCCCAATTTTTTATTATTGATTGGTTGATTGTTGCCTGCTTACGGTCAAGTTTTCGAAGTGGCCAGTATATTGTGATAGGTGATAGCTATTTTTAGCTCACCTGACCCTTACAGTCAAGTGGACTATTCTCGTCACTTGGCATCTGTTGTCCATTATCTTTTACAAAAATCTTCTCCTCTGAAACAACTGGACACATTGGTACCAAACTTGGCCACAAACATCATTGGGTTATCTGGTTTAAAACATGTGTCAAATGATCTGGACATAGGGGTAAAGTCTATTATGTTGAAACCCATCTTCTCTAGCCAAGGGCTACAATCCGGTCTATTCCTCTGATCGTAATCCCTACCTAGCGAAGATGGTTGAAACCCACTTAAGATAGAGAAAATCCAACAGGGCACAAATATTCTGATTGATGAGATCTACCTACTGTCTATTTACATTATCGGTAAAACTGTCTGACAACTTCTATAGGAATAATTGCCCTTTAATGAAGTCTACAACTAAATCAACATGACTGAAATTGTCAGTCAAATCATTATAGGAGTTATTGCCCTTTAATAATGATTTTTACCATATTTGGTGAAAAATTTGAAAAAGAAATACAGCAAAAATGGTCAACATAGCCGAAATTTTCAGTTGACTCCTGATATGAGTTTTTCTCTTAAATGACAATTTTTACATTTGTTCGTTTTGGGCAAACAACAAAGAAGATAGAAGGAAACTGTAGACAGTAAAAATTATCATCAAAGCATGATCGCCAAAATAGGGATTTTAGTCATGAATTATGTTTTAGTCTATAATGTTGGAGAGTTGCCATTGTTGAAGATGTTCATAGATCCAGGCGAGCTCTTTACAGCCTATTTCTTTGCCTAAAGGGCCATGTGGGCTTTTCTCATTTGGCATCTGTGGTTGTCCATTAATTTAAAAAAAAAAAATGCTCTTAAACTGGGCCCATTGGAACCAAACTAGACCTCAATCATCCCTTGTGTATCTATTTTAAAAAATGTGTCCAATGATCCCACCTGACAACCAACAAGGCCCCAAAGCTTGAAATAGAACATGGTGTAAAACGAAATAATAACTTTAGTTTAAGTGAATGGATCTCTATGAAATTTTACCATAAGGTTCAATACCACAAAAGGAAGGTTGGGATTGGTTTTGGGGGTTATGGTACCAACAGTTAAGGAATTAGGGGCCAAAAATAAGCATTTTTGTAACTTCCAGACAATAACTTGTGTGTTAGTGTATGGATCTCTCTGACATTGTACCACAAGGTTCCATATCACAAAAGGAATGCTAGGATTGATTTTGGGGGTAATTGCCTCAAAACGTTTAGGAATAATGGGCCAAACAGGGGCTAAAAATAAGCATTTTTCTAGTTTCATGTCAATAACTTGTGTGTAAGTGTATGGATCTTTCTAAAATTGTACTACAAGGTTCCATATCACAAAGGGAAAGCTGGAATTGAGTTTAGGGGTAATTGCCCAAAAAGTTAAAGAATACGGGGCCAAAAATAAGCATTTTTCTAGTTTCCAGACAATAACTTGTGTTCGAGTGTATGGATCTCTCTGAAATTGTACTGCAAGGTACCATACCACAAAGGGAAGGCAGGGATTGATTTTGGGGGTAATTGCCTCAAAATTTTAGGAATTACGGGCCAAAAAGGGGAAAAAAACAAGCATTTTTCTAGTTTCAGGACAATAATTTGTGTGTAAGTGTATGGATCTTTATGAAATTGTACTACAAGGTTCCATATCACAAAGGGAAAGCTGGGTTTGAGTTTTGGGGTAATTGCCCTAAATGTTTAGGAATTTGGGGCCAAAAGCCCCAAAAACAAGCATTTTTTTAGTTTCCAGACAATAACTTGTGTTCAAGAGTACGGATCTCTCTGAAATTGTACTGCAAGGTACCATACCACAAAGGGAAGGCTTGGTATGAGTTTGGGGGTGATGAATCATAAGGGGGTTCAAAAAATTGGGGGGGGGGGATTTTTTTTTCTATTTTAAGACTTTTATGATGTATTTAAATTGTTAATTATGGTTGCAAACTCCATTGGAAATTTGAATTGAGATTATGACCATATCTTGAGGGAAAGAATTTTTTTTTGGAAAAGGGGGGAGGTGAAAAAAAAACTTAGGGGGGAGGGGGGTAAACAAATTTGGGGGGGGGGGGCAATTTATTTTTTTCGTTTCAGATTTCAGAAATTAAAAAGAAAATTTCTTCAAATATTATTACTTTTTGCAAAAAAAGGGGGGATAACATTTTTTTTTAGGGGGGGGGGGGGGGGGGTCTACGCAACAGCATAGTGTATTTCACAAAAGCAAAACAAAGGGGGGTCAATTTCGCAACAGCATAGTGTATTGCACAAAAGCAAAAAAATGAATATAAATTCAAATCATATAACCAATTCTAAGTTCTTTGACTACAGTTATTCGCTGTCAGAAACCTATTATGTGTCAAATATTTAATTACATACCAAATTCAGACCTGTATCAAACGCGAATATTGTGTCCATTTTTGCCCAACTGTTCAGGGTTGGACCTCTGCGGTCGTATCTAGCTGCGCTCAGCGAAGCATTTTATTACCATTTTTGAAATTTCGGCTTTTATCTTCAAAACTATAATATATATTGTGAAACTATAAATGGCAAAAATTATCGGCAGGACTAGATCAACAAATAAGTCGATTCCTTATATGAGTTAATGCCCTTGCAAGATGAATTTTACACATTTTCGTGTTTTTGTGGGAATTATAGTAGAAAGAGACAAATTGGAAACACCAAAATTGATCAGTGGGACAAGATCTACAAATAAAAACGCATAGCAAAAATCGTAAGTCCACTTCTGATAGGAGTTTTTGCCCCTGAAAAGAAGATTTGTGCCCATTTCAGTTTTATTTTGCGGAAAAAATTGTAGATCCAGAGAAAAAAAACTGTAATGGATAGAATTTTTTTACATCAAAAATGATCACCTGGACAATATCTATAAAGGAGTCAAACGGAAAATCTTCAATAGACTGCTTATATGAGTTATTGCTCTTCAAAAATTTTTTTTTTACCTATGTTTGTGTTTTTGATAAACCTAAAGTAGATAGAGAGAATCTGTTTTCAGCAAAAATAAACATCAGACCAAATTTACCAATACGTCAAGATGGCTGAAAGCATCAAACAACTCCTTATAGAAGTTATTGTCCTTGATGGACGCTTTTCACCTGTTTTGTGGGAACTAGATTAATCTTGAGAGAAACTGTAAGCAGCAAAACAGGACAAGATCTTCTAATGAATCAGCATGGTAGATATCGTCAGTTGACTCTGCATAGTAGTTATAACCCTTGAATAATATTTTTTTAAATTACGCATTTGCTGTTTTTAAGCCAGTAACTATCAGAAATATTCTTATTGCATTTCATCAATTTAAGAAAATTCGAGATGGCAATACAGGCCTTCTGCTCCGTAACTGCTTGAGAAAAATTTCTTAGTTATCATAGAGTGTAACTTTAGTTTAAATATTAAGAGAGCTGTGAAAATGGAAAACAAATTGGTTGACTATATAGGTTTTGAATTGGGGGTATGACACCTTATAATATGACGAATGTCCTCAGAGAGTTGGGAAGTCAGCATTTCAGCTCATGGCAAGATCTTTTCTGTCGTAATTGATATCTTTACCAAACTTTTATTGATAAGGCAGCTACCATTTGATTTTAATGGGGGGGGGGGGGGGGGGGGTAGGATGAAAAATGTGGTCGTATATTTGTCACGACGTTGGTGTCATTGTCGTCGTCGTCGTCGTCTTCCGAAGACACATTGGTTTTCGCACTCTAACTTTAGTTTAAGTGAATGGATCTTTTTGAAAATTGACCATAAGGTTAAATACCACAAAAGGAAGGTTGGGATTGATTTTGGGGGTTATGGTACCAACAGTTAAGGAATTAGGGGCCAAAAAGGGGCCAAAAATAAGCATTTTCTAGTTTCCAGACAATAACTGTGGAACGGTATATGGATCTCTCTGAAATTATACTACAAGTTTCCATACCACAAAGGGATGGTTAGGATTGCTTTGGGGGGTTCTGGCTCAAACCGTTTAGGAATTAGGGGCAAAACAGGGGAAAAACAAGGTTGTCTGGTTAATGGACAAATACTTTAGTACAAAACATAATTTAAGCAGTGTAAGGGAGATAAATCAATTACTCATTGAAATTCTCCCTTACACTGCTTTTAATTATGTATAAAGTATGGTTAATGAACAATAAAGATAATTTAAAACAGTGTACGGGAGGTAATCAAATACACGTTTTGGTTACTTCCTTACACTGCTTTTTAAATTATGTTTAAGAAATGCATATTTATAACGGAAGACCAGTATAAATATCGCCAATGTTGCATCTTTATTTTTTTACAAAAAATCCATATGAAAGATTAGGACCTATATTTTTAATTCTATAATAAATAGATTAAGTTAGCACTATGGTAAATTTAAATGGGTAATTATGGTTGCCAACTCCATTGGAAATTTGAATTGAGATTATGACCAAACGTGAGGGAAAGAGTTTTTTTGGGGAAAAAGGGGGGGGGGGAAAAAAGGGGGGGATAAAAAGAAATTGTGGGAGGTCATTTTTTTCTCATTTCAGATTTCAGAAATTAAAAAGAATTATTCCTCAAATATTATTTTTTTTCAAATTTCAAATATTGAAAAATTTCAAGAAGTAATCTTTAATTGCACAGTATGGCGCATTAGATTTGTAAAATCTTTGATC